ATATAAAAGCGGAAACTGAAAATGACCGGAAACTCACTTATTATACTCACTTGACAGGTGTCACTATTTTTTTGTTTTTCTTTTCCTCTCCATAATCACCTATGACTGCTGTCAACATTTTCAACATTTAATTTTTTTTTATCCAATATTATCATATTAATTAGAAACTAAAATGGCCGTCAATTTTCCATAAAATTTTCCCTAGGATTTCAATTTGACAATTTGATAATAGAAAAAAAGAGGTGACCTATTTTATAGAAGAAAAATTTTAGACGTAGAACTATCGGCTACGGTATATCGAAATCCCATATTGAAAAAAATTGCCCTTACAACACCCCGATTTATTTAAGTTTCTAACCATAACCCATATCACTCCTACACTTTAAAATAACCATAATTAATCCTTATAGATTCTTTTCCTATCCTATATTTCCTTACTTCAGTTCCATTTTTATTTTGATATCTTTCTATGTGTTATTTTTTTTCAATTTTCGTTCATTATTTTGTGCGCGTTTTTTTTTTAAATTTAAAAATCTGATTATACCGGAAATGTATTCCATTATGTTTGGAATACCTACATTACGAATTTCGGACAATTTTATCGCGAACTTTTGATCTCAATATAATTTATATTATTGGTTTTACCATAGATTTTTAACATAAATTATAAATAACTCTAAAGTTAAAGGTAAAATTATTTACGATTCCCTAATATAGGTATTCTAAACATGCTGGTTTCATAAACGCGCTTTAAAAAATGATTTTAAAGTTGAAAAAATAACAAATTTACCGATATTTCATCTATTAAAACATTTCCCTTCAATATGAACGTTCAAATCGAAGTTGAGTTATTATTTATCTTTTACAATCAAATTTGTATTCACAAAATATTACACATTAGCATTATAAATATGAATAAATATGAAAACGAGCCAGTTAGCTTGGAATAGGATATTTTAAATTCAAAATGAGGGGAAAAATAAAAAAATAAAAACAAATTCAAATTTTCAAAAATCGATTTTTTTTTAAAAAAAAAAACTTGCATAAAAGCCCCTCCTTTTATGTGCAGTTTTTTAAAAAAAATATAAAATGTTTATATAATTCTATCATACAAAATGGTAAATGTATGATGGCTTAGTAGATAAATATGTTAATCTAAAGTGCTGTGTATTATTATAATGGATATTTAAATGTTAAAATAGTTATCGTTATTTTTTGGTGCTTAGATTCACACTTTTAAATACGATGTTAATATAAATAGTATAATTCGAGAAATAGAAAAATTTATCTGGCGCCAATTAGAGCCATCCTTTTCGTAGGTCCGAGTTCCAACGAATTCGCCCAAAATTTTTACCTAACGCGGTCCGCTAAAACTGGCCCTGAGAATTAAAATTTTGAAATTAGGTTTCCATTTTCCCCAGGATTTTGACAAATATAAGTTATCAAATAATTTTAATTTCATATAGGTGATGTCCAAAAATATCAAAATAAATTTAATTTGAAAACTTAAAACTTTAGTCAACAAAAAAATTGCCAAATTTTAAAAACCTTATAACAAAAAAAATAAAATAAGGAAATAATAAATCCATATTTTTTTGTCAATATTGATTTTTGCCATTTTTAAGATCTCTAGTTACACTCAACTTCATTATTTATTATAATAAACTTCAAAATTTTTCGTAAATTCGAAAAATTGATTTAGGTCACTATTGTATTATTACATTAAAAATAGCCTATTTCTCTTTTTTTTTTCGTTTAAAGTTATGAAAGTTTATTAAATATATTTTTTTATATTTATGATCATAGTCTTTATATGATTTTCCAACTAATTAATTTATAAAATTTATGTAATTGAAATTAATTTTTTTTAAAACTCACCCGGGTTTGGATTATAATCTTTTAAAATTTTTCTTTAAGCCCAGCCCCTGATTTTATGGGCGGCCTGCATGTGTCTGATTTATATTCTATTTAGAAAAAAAAATTTAAATTTAATTTATAATTTCGATACTTAGAAGAGTATTCACGATAAGATTTCCTATAGAATCCCAGACGTTTTAAAATTAAAATATAAAAATTGTTGTATTAAGATCTCAAATCTTTAGTATCATTGGTTTGGTGATTTTTAAATATGAGCCATTTGCCAGGGACTCGGGTCTGTTGAGGCCCTCACCAGAGCGTTTACGTCATTTCTTTTCACCAGAGTACCGAAGAGTTATTAGGAATACTATGGGTGAGTCTGAGCATGAACAGATGGTATTCATTAGCGATGATGTATACCGGATTCCTTTTTTTTAAATAGTAAAAATAGAATGTTTTTCCGCAACTGGGAAAAACTATTTGTCCTCTTTGTTTAAGAGATCCATCGCAATCAAGATGGAACTAGTACTCATTTCTTTTACTATGGTAGATTAAGGCATTTTATAAATGAACGGAAGGGGGGGGGTGGGGGGGTTTAAACCATTTCGTCTACGTGTCTTTCAGCGGAATAAGGAGTAGGCGGGTGATAGATAAAAAGATTTTTGCGGGGGAGGAGAGGGGGTTGGACATTTTTTTGTTTCTCATAAAGATTCTGGATTAAGTTGCCCATTTTTTTGAACATATCCGAAAGTTTTGTTCGCTCACGGTAAATTTTAGCCATTTTGGATTCATCGCAAATCTGATTGGATAATTTAATTTTTTTTTCCATAAATTTTTTACAAATAAACTTACATTACCTTTTATAAAATATTGCTGATTGTTTTAACATCTTCAGGGGCGTAAAAATAAGACAAATTGGATTTTTGACCTAAAAAGGGGTCTGGTACTCATTTAGAAAAGGGACTTCGCCTTTAAAAAGGTATTGTTGTCAGCGAAAATGAACGCTTTTTTATAAATTTAATTTTAAAAAATTAGCCTATTTCCTCCCGAAAATATTTGCCTGGATTTGCCAAGACCAACGATCTAGCTAAAACCCGATTAAAAACCGATATCTAAAGTCGGAATTCGACTTAAGTGTCCTATTTCAAATTACTGCCAGACAGATCTGGCATTCGCTAGACTTGGTCAACTCTCCCGCCAAGAAAATGATAGAAATTGTGATAATGGACGTCTTATTTTTATTATCTTTTTTAGGCATAAACAAGGATGATTGGGGTCAGCACCCAGCAGGAGTATCTATTATTACTCTCGAGCCTAGAATAGTGTTATTAAAATGCTCGATTCGAGCCGATTTTTTAAAACGGCTAACACGATATATTTACCCGGTAAAATATTGTCCAGGCTTTGAGATTTCTCTACTAAATACCCAAACTGTGCCATCTATGAACAAAATCTTCAGGCTTGCAGGCTCAAATCGAGTCTTAACAACAATAACCAAGAAGTATATGGTCGTAGTTTTTTTTCCTCGCTAATTTGCGTTAAGTGTTTATTAGATCGTAATTAAAGAAAAAATAAATATAATCTGCATACAATTATGAACATGGATTTATTTATAAAAACACATTTATGTTATATTATTTATCATTCTATATTAGTCAGTGAACTCGGAGGGAGTTCATTATAACAAATTTATACTTACCATCCGAAATCGCAAAATAAAAATAAATATTATTTTTTTGAGGCCTTCAAAAATATTAAGATTTAAAGACAGATCTTTTATATAGAAAGAAGGAATTAAGGATATATATAAATTCTAATAATTACTCTACTATTATCCCTTAGAATTTTTTTTTTTTTAAAAATATATATTTGAAAATTGATTTACTCGAAAGAGAAAAAAAATATTATATTCCAATGTAAATTATTCTTTTTTATCCTTGGAATTTCTTCAATTTTTAAATTTAAAAAAAAGATGTTTTTAATATACCTACAAAAATACAAATCGAATCGAATATTTTCACTATTCGTATTTTTGAATCGAATATTTCACTATTGATATTCTATTCCTAGGAATCGAATAATTCCTTATTTGTATTCGTACTTCGATTCGATTGGAAAATTAAATTCTTTAAAAAAAATATTTACAAAAATATTTTTGAATATTTTTTTTTGCCTTCCGATGAAGGTCGTCGTTGTAAATGGTTATTAAATTTATCATTCATTGATTAATTAAGAAATGTGGCTATTTTCAATCAATAGTTTTGCTATATCACATTTTTTTTAGATAAACGCTGCTCACCGTGGCTAAGCATAAGAATATGATTTGTTTTTTTATGGCTATTAATATTGCCTTAATTGTTCATTTAAATAGTTTGGACTCTTTTGATAATTAATAATATAATGAATCAAGTAGGAAGAAAGATATAATATTATCATTATTTCATTTTATGTGTTCAAAACTATTTTGAATAAAATTCCAAAGTGAATTATGTTTTTGAACATGTTTTTATTTTTAATATTTAAAATAGATTATTTAGAATTATTTTCATTAAAGATTTCGAAATTTTGTGAAATTTAATTTTTTTGATGTTTTTGGGCGGAACCTAAAAAGTAAGAAATTAATTATGTATTTTTATTCCCTCAGATTCGAATACCCCAAAAATGTAAAAAAAGAATATGGATTGGTCAGTTACTATTTTATACAAATAAACGGACCGAATACCTGCCAAACTAGTATCCGCACTACAATTTCTTAAACTCGGTGGCATTACCGGCCAAAACCCGAATACCGTCATTTATACCCGCTCTTATTCGTTATAGGTTATGCGCTAGTATCGCAACAGTGCTTACATTCTACCGTCAAACGATAACTGATTTTAAACTCCATCTCAAAAAATATATAAATAATGAGCGTTAAAAAGGCTCTACCCTCGGATGCCTTGTTGGTCATGGATAGTTACAACAGCTTATCGCTGCCGCGCAAGTTGGGCAGACTATGTTTGGGAGATCCCTTGCAATTCCTCCAGAGGATGAGGGGAGACGAACACCCTTCCCACTGTAAAAATAAGAAGAACGCCCAAAGCCCCAAGGGCAATAATCATTGTGCCACTGTAGATGGCTGCGGTAAAAAAAACGACGCGCCAATGTTGACGGGTAAAGGAAAGGACTATGATATTAATAACGATGTCACTCCCGTTACCGTTCTGACAGAAGAAATTGGCCAAAGGGGTTCCAAATTTCCTAGATTGCACGAATGCGCTCATTTTCATTACGACTACGTGGAAATCGGAGCCATACACGTGAGAAAAAAAATTTCAATTTTATTTGGGTTAAACGGGGGGAGTAGGGACCTTGCAAATTTTGCATACCTCGCCTCGAATTCGAGCTAACTGTGAATGACAGGGTGGTAAGTGAAATGGGATTTTTTTTTACCCCTTTCTCACTCTTATCGGAACCTTCTTATTTTGAAGTGTGAAATAAGTGACCATAGTTTGTTAGAGTTCGAACCTCGTATTTTCGCACTCTAAACCAGATTAGGTCATAATTCTTTTCCAGATTTTTTTTAAAAAGATATATCGATATCGGATATTTCACAATCATAGTGTCAAATATATCAAAATGGGCGATCAGAAATTTATTGAATTTATAGAGTTGAACCCATTTTAAGAAGATAAGGTACATTAGTTGAATCTAAATAAAAAAGGTTAATAGATTGAATAATGTAGGGTAATGGAGATTTGAAACAAAATAATAATAAAATTTATGTTTTCCTTTATTCATCTCCCATTAATTGTAAAATATACTAAATTAACATAAAAGATTATAATAAAAACTTATAAAAAAAATTAAAGTTGAAAAATAAAAATATATAAATAGAATCCTTTCCTAAAAATTGGAAAATATAATCATCTTTGAGATAAAAAAAACGAATAGTGTTGTTAAACGGCTCGATTTGAGCCGATATCTAAAAACAGCTAACTCAATATTTTAGCGTAAAATCTTAAGGCTTACAATAATATTTTTCTTGATAAAACATTGAGTTTAGCCGTTTTTAAAATCGGCTCAAAACGAGCCGACTAACAACACTAATCGTTATATATTATAAGCTTTTTATCAAAATTTGCATATTCATCCAAAATTATACGGAAACACAAAACTTATTTATTAATATATATACTTAAAAAATTATGAAATAAAACAAAAATATAAAAAATATGATAAAAACATCAAATTAGTATACAGAATTTATTATCACAAATGAGAAGACGTGGATTCTATGCGCTAGGAAACACATTTAAAATCGTTATAAAGAAAGGTTAAGAGGAGATTTTATGATAAGTAATAGCGATCGACCTCTATTTTTTTCCTCCATACTATTTTGTTGTTGATAATTAAAATAAAACGTCTGCCTACCACTTTTTCATTTTTAAGAGGTAAATTCTGAGAAATTTCCAGGAATGCACTGCACTTAAGTGGAAGTATATTCGTTAATATAGCAAAAAGGAGGTTTTCATCCACCTTTATCAAATTTTTGAAACTCTGGCTAAAAATTTTTTTAAAACACGCTCTACAGCTGAATCCTAGTTCGACTTATTACTAAATATAGCGCCAGTTTAGTTTTCACTAAATAGCCTAAAAAGTAATTTATTGAAAAAACTAAACAAAATTACGAAAAATAACAATGCCACCAAATACTTAAAACAAACCAAAATAGGGTGTCCTCTAGTTCAAAAGCTGTCTATTTTGTTTATTCGTTTTTTTCCAATATTTTAGTACCACTCACCATCCTTATGGGAAACATTAATTTGCCAATATTTTATTGCAAATTTTAAATATCACTTATCTAAAATATAATCTATCCATCGTTATTTCTAGCTCATTACCTTTTTATTTAATTTTTTTTGGATGCCCCCCCCCCTCTCCTTATTTTTACATTTGAAAAAACATTGTTTTACTTCCCTATAGTTATAAGATAACCAGGAAGATTGCCAAATCTCAATAATTGGTCGTAAATCTTGCGATTTAAAATATACCACATGTTTGCCTAATCTCATATTTTATTTTGATATTAAAATAAATGACACCTAATAAATTTACATCGATCAGAACCCGGAGTTATAACCGGCAAACGGGAGAAAACCTAATAAGTAGGTTTACACTGACTGTACTGTATACATATATTTTCCGCACAAATAACGGGTTAATATAGCCTAGTTTACGTTATTTCTTTTCCTTTATATTTGAAATTTTTTTTTCATATAAAAATTTATAAATATCTTTAGATAAAATAACTGTTTGCAATTAAGGTTTTTGTAAAAAAAAACATATTTTTACATTTTATTTAATGTTTTTAAAGATATGTTTAATGACTTTAATGTATTTGTATACATTAGAAAGACATATTCATGTTTTTAAGTTTTTAAAAATATGTTTAACTCGATAAAATAAATATATGAATCTGACGTTGGTCATGTATATTTTATTTACTTGCTGGAAAATAAATTAATACAAGTGACAAAACAAAAGGTTCATTATTGTTTTCAAAAAATGAACATCGCCATTTATATTATATTTCTATTATCTCAAAAATATTATGAATATATTTGATTTATATAAATTTGACGAAGAAATTTTTATGATGAAATTATAATTGTTGATATATTTTGAACAAGGTAAAAACACATAAATTAATATATATATATATATCGTAAGGGGATTCGGAATCTCTTGATTTTAAATCTTTGACCAGGGCGATTTAAAAAATTTTTAAAATCCGATTTAACCGGAAATGTATTTTAGCATGTGTAGAGTATTTACCCTATAAATTTCAGCCATATAAAAATTAATATAAATTAGGAGTAGTTCTAAAGTTTATGGCAAAATTGCCTGAAATTTTTAGGGTAAATAAATATACTCTACACATGCTAGAATATCGGATTTTAAATTTTTTTTAAATCGACCTTGGTAAAGGATTTAAAATCAATAGATTCCGAATCCCCGTGCCACAATGTATAATAATAATAATCTTAAATATTAAATAAATATTCTATATTTATAAGTAAATTTCTTTTTACATCACATTTCCTATCTTTTTTTTTTACTCCTCTTAAAATAGACTAACTTTATTTTTTGTTATTAAATAATGTATAATATACTTTATTATAAGTGCTATTATAATTGGTATAAATAAATTATTTATGATAAAAATATTATCCCAAATTATCATTTTTTTTTGTTCACTTAATAAAAATTTTAAAATTGAAATTTCATTCATTTATTTTGACTCGCCGATGCGGAACGCGTCATAAAATGATATAATTTTAAACAGCCTAGGCAGAATCAAGGCAGGAATTTATAAATAAATGTATTTTAACCAATTGAAATATTTTTTTTTCGATTTCCCTTTTGAACTCAATTACAAAACAGTGCCAAAATTATCTTAAAATAATCAAAATTTGAAAAACCCCGAACCGAAAAAAAAATATGGTCGAAGGTTTGAAGAAATTTTCTTGGAGCCGAGCTTGGCCTAAAAATACTACTTTAGTTATGGCACTCATTTCTATAAGAGGTGAGGGTATTAGGTTATGTTATAGTGTGCACAAATTGAGCGTCTACGTTTTGCCGTATTTTTTAAATAAAAAAACCTAACGTGTCCCTTGTTTAAATTGATGTTGTTTTTTTTATATTAATATCCGTCGATTCAAAATTTTAAATAAGTTCTAAAAAAAGGATTTGTCTTTGAAAATTATATTATCGTCTGCGTTCTTATTTCTTTAATTTCTAAATATTCCTTTTTAGTATAATAAGTAAGTTATTTATATTACATTTTAAATAATAATACAAAACGAAGAATAAAACAAATAATGAAAAAGCAACCCAGTTTGCGTTTTTTTTAATGGTTGCTAACGCCAAACCGTCATTTTGTTTGAAAGGCATTATTGGCGTTTGAAACGCTCAATTTGTTCGCAATATCATGCGGTAAAAATTATTATTAATTACTGGGTTTTTCCTTTACCCCGCATTTCACAGCTGTTAGCGCGAATTCGCCGCGAAGTGTACAATATTGTGTACCTCGTTTCGAATTCGCATTAACCGTGAACGCAGAATTAGGGACCAAATTTCACATCAAAGTTTTATTACGAAGATGGACTTTTGCCCATAATTCTTGTTTTTTTTTCCTGTTCTTCTTTCCGATAACTCCAAATTTTAATGTTTTGGGCATAATATTTGCGAATATTTTTAGTAAAATTTTATCATCATTTCATTGCAATGGCGCCCAACGTGGGCTTCTAATACCAAGACTACCCTCAGACATTTTTTTTTTAAAAACAGTACCTTCGCGGCTATTCAATTTGGAAACACTTTTGCCCAGCGTTACGCTAATTTCTCGTACGCAGCCTCCCATAAAAAAAATTTATGACTTAGTGTTATTAAATGGCTCCATTTTTAAAAACGGCTAACCAAATATTTTAGCCAAAAAAATATTATGCATGCCTTGGGAATTTTGTTCATAAAAGTTAGAAAGGTTTGAGGATCTATAATCGAAATCTTGAGGCTTTCGTAATTTTTTTGCCGAAAACCGTTTATGAAAATCGAGCCTTTTAGCAACACTATATATGGCTCCTTCTCAAAAAGTATTAATTTTTTTTCTACCCAATAACATTTTCTGTTTCCATTTCCATATAAAATAATTAACCTAATAACCGCCATTTAAATAATCATGTAAAAATTGATATTTATTATACCATAAATCATATATTATTTCTTTCTTTTTTTTTAGGACACACCGTTTTAAATTTTTCTTTGATTTCTCTACTTTTTTTTTTATATATATTAAAAAAAATCTTGATAAACTTTTCATAAGTTTTTCAATAAAATTCTCAATGAAAAAAATCAAAACAAACAAAAAAAATTAGTTAAATACAATTTAATAACAACTTTATATACTTTTTCTTATCATTTTTTAAAAGATCTCCCGAATCACTTGCGTTGCTAAAAAAGCCAGATTTGTGTCGATTTTAAGATTATAGCTCAAATAATATTAATTTCTACCAGCTATGAGCAAAATTGTAAGTCTTCCATAATGTTATTTTGGTTATATAATCTTATTTTTAACAACACTACTAATAACGCTAAGGCTGCACCGTGCCTTAGCTCTTCTCAATTCCGAAATCCACTCAGAAAAGCAACCTTGGTGGTCATCCTTTTTTTTAGTCTTAAATTAAATCACTTATTCAATTCAGTCGACTATTCAGAAATTTTTAAAAAGAAATTAGCCAAGATCTTCTTTTTAAAAAAAAATAAATAAGCAATATGTTCTATCTACATTTATTATTCTGATACTTTATCTCCCCTTCCTCTCACTCCTTACCTACTTTTACTTTTTGATTATCCCAAATTCAATTATATATATTTTAAAAACTCGAGATTTAGGAGTTGTGTGACATAAAGGTAGATCTAGATATCGTATATATAATACATTATAATAATAATTAAACAATTTTTTTCTTTTTTAAAAGCAAAGCAAAACTAGTTTTTGTTTTGAAAATTAGGTTATAAAACAAATCAAATATTTATATATATATATATATTTCTAAACCAAAAAAAAAAATTAATTTAAATTTAATTTCCTTAAAAAAAAAGTTTTAAAAACAAAAATCTTTGGGTACAATAATATTTTATTATATTTATATCACTGCTAACAAAAAAAAAGTTATAATTTTAAAGAATTATTATATTCTTAGCCGAGTAGGCAGCCAAAGTTTATATAAAGGTTAATAATTATAAAATAAAAAGAATAATAATATGCTATTCTTTATATAAGCATTAATGCATATGAAAATTTAAAATTCATTTTATGAAGAGGAAAAGATTCATGAAAAGTAACGAAATTTTAGGGAAAAAAAATATGATAAAAATGAAAATAATTTTAAAAAAAATAATAAAAGAAAAATAGGCGGTCAATATCATGGCACACAAATCAAAGATCCGCTAAGCCCGAATATAAATATCTGGCCGGGGCTTAGCCGGTTTGTGATTTTTCCTTCACAAAAAAAAGGATAATGCTGGCCATATCCCTTCTTTAAGTAAAAGTTGTAAGGTTTTTAAAATGAAGTTTTAATGACGGGTATTGTCTACTTCTCCTTTGCAGAGTTGTTATGATACTTAAATGCTGTATCTAGTTTAGATATATATGTATCGGTGATATCTTTATGTATTTAACAGATATAATTTTTTAATAATTAACCTATACAAAAATATAGTTCAGAATCGAGTATATACCTCTAGATAAATATAAAATGCGAATACTAATAATAGCAAAACCATTTTAAAATTATATATTTTTTTATATTTTCAGTTAAGTCTAATCGCGGACAACAAGTCAATCCACAAAAGCGAAAGGAACGAAGCCGATAATGTAACCGGCGCAATCGATTACGAGATTTTGGTCGTTTGCGGAGGTAGGTCATGGGTTCTCCGCCGAGATTTGAACCATCTCCACAAATTGGACCAAGATTTACACGTTTGCTCTTTCGATAGGTCAGTTCAATTTTTTTTTTGTAAAAAACATAATTTGTTAGAATCGAATTATAATCGCAAAAATTTATTTACCTTTGGGTTGTACTTTCTTTTTCCCTCCCGTCAATCACAATTTACTAGACCCATCCCGTGATGAAACATTTTCAGAAATCTTCTGCCCGGTCCATATAAATATTTTTGGAGGATTTGTCCTCTAGTTGCTATATCTCCAATGATTTGTTTTATCTTTAATCTTATTATATATATTTTTTCCCTCTTTTTATAGGCGTTACAGCGCTTTACCGCTAATCGGAGACATTTCTTCGGCAGCTGCCAATATCGGCGAGAATGGTCGCTCTAAATTTCGCCTTACCCTTAATCGATATTTTGGGAGATTATCTGTCATAGTCTGCGAAAACATCGTTAATTGCGTAAACGTGTTGAATTGGTTCGAAGTAATTAAAATGATTGATTTAGTATTTCATTCATTTGAGAAAATGTTATTTTGAAATGACTTATAAAATGTTAGCCGAAAATCGAGTTAATATTTGGCGCCATTTACGTTATTGGACACTAGTATGTGCGTCTACTTAGTCATTAACCGATAGAGATGTTATTTAATCTCTGCAACAGAATCTGGTAGTAGATCCACAAGAGGCATCGAAGCACCATAATTATGAGCTAACTGATCGCCACTCATGGGTCGGCTATAATATTTCCAATGTAATCATTGGATCCTCGCATTTTATGCCAAATATCTTTTCTGAAAGATGACAAGTTTTTAACCGCGCTTGTATAATTTAGGGTATTATACAATTCGCTTACATTCTTTTTTTTTCTTCCTCTCTATTTTTCTCATCTTTCAGATCTCTCTAATATCACTTATTTTTAAAGATGGACAACAAGGGAAATCACCTGCAAACGGTGAACGACATAAAATATCAACTTCTCAACACCCAGGCTATAGCGGCCGCCATCGTTACCAAAAGATACGCCGCCAAAAATTTCAAAGAATTGTCTCTCGAGGTTAATTACGATCCCACCCCCTTTTTTTGTGGCTTCTTTTAATGGCCGGTGCCTAAAATTTTTCCCTTCTTTTCCAAAAGATAGAATTCCTAGAAGGTAGTGCCAATATCTTTATGGCTAACGACCCAGTGCTTTATTTAGAAAAAACCTGTAAAACAAACTTTTCAAAATAAAATGTAATAGTAACTATACACAAAAGACAACGGTAAATATAACACAAGGGAAAACTATCCATGATACAATATAAATATTAATATAAAATTTCGTATTTATATGTAATGTAATAATAGCGGGGGGGGGGGGGTGGATTCTTACCATGAGGGAATTGCATTTTAAAACTATTAATTAAGTTTTAGCCAACATTTACGATTATCTTTACACTCGTCGTAATAGTAAAGTAATTAATCATTGGTTATAGTAGTCCACGTGGAACTGTTAGACACCATTACCTCCTCTAGGGTTTAAAAGCTGTTTGTTTTTGAACGTCAGTTTTTATTATTAAAATTATTTTCGAATTTTCCGTGAAAGATATTAAATTTTTTTTTTTATGTTGGTGAAAATAACATGCATTAGGTAGGCGATATAATTTCTATCACGGATATGAGTCTCGATTCATCCCGCCTGGCCGATTTGCGTGTTTACGACATTAACTGGTGGAAGGGGAAGAAAGGATTCAATGTATGTAAAAAAAAATGATACGCATAAATTATTAGTTTTACTTTTGCTAGAACCTGTTCCACTTTCTAGAAATTTTAAGAGGAGATTCTTGTTTCAGGTTTTAGATTTGACCGGTTTCCCAAACTTTTGCACCATAGTTTTTCGATAAACAAAAAAAAGGGAATTATAATTTTAAAACGTAAAAAAACTAATTACTAGGTTGGTTACTTCCCAAACCAATGCGTCCAGTTATACCCTCTACCACACGTAGACCCTTCTTACTCCGTCCGCATTCCGCATATCAAGCACAGGGGATCCTACGCGAACGACCATAACAATCCCTCCAACAAAACCAATCACGACCTCTACGAGATCTCCCCCCACAATTCCAGTCACACATCCATGAACATGAATATTGCCATGAACATGAATATCGGCGGCGTGAATACGAATAACGTGAGGTATCTGATGTCCCATTTTTTGCCTTACTTTTTGGAGGAGAGGCCAACCAAACCCCGGCTCAGGGCCGTGGGAATACTCAAGGAGAGAGTGTTTGGGTGCGATCTGGGAGAATACCTACTCAATAATGGGCATGATGGTTAGTTGGCTAGTTAAATAGTGTCATTTATTTCTATTTCTCTCTGAGTCTCTCTCTCTTTCATATTATTTGAATATCACTGGATATAGTTCCTTAGGCAACATTTATAGCACTGTTATCTATGCCTTATTTAACGCAGCGTTATTACAGCTGATTCAGTTTTAAAAACTAAAATTTAAGATAAAACTAAAATAGAGATAATTATTTTATATAATATCTAAGAAAAATGACATACCTTTTTATCGAATTCGCAATTATTTTTTTTTATCGGGGCATCTCAACATATGTTTTTCAAATTTTATAGCAGCGTTTTTTTCATCATAACACTTCATATTTATAAATTTACACCTATTTATTGGGCTTTATTGTAATAACGCAACGCGTGAACAAAACACGTCCTAAGTATAAGAAATCTGCAAAACCCGGTCCGCCCGAAATCTTAATCCACGGACCGGGCCGTTAATTTTTTAAAACGAATTAAAGCGGGTCGAGTCAAAATAATTTATAACAGGCTTTGGGGCAAGTCGAACATAAAGAAAAATTTGGGCGAAGCTTTCATATCATTTTTATGCACATGTTCTAATTATATAAGATTTCTTTATAAATTATAAAAACGATGGGTAAATTATAAATAAGCTATTTATTTCATGATATGATGAATTGAGAAGGGTGGAAAAAACTAGAAAGAAATGAATGGCACACAGCTTTTGCAATAGAATAATGATAAATAGATTGTATTAAAAAAGCAAACTATTTTATTGTATGATATGAGGTCCGTAAAGTTGACGGAACGACTTAAGGATTAATTGCCGAAACCTATGTCATTTTGTAACCCGTTAATTGATCTTGATATCGTAAACCGTCGAAATCAACCGTTAGTGACCTATAAGCCAAATAAAAGGTTCGCCTCTGCCAAAAACCGAAAATAAAAAGATCATATTTTGAAATCTCCGTGAAGTTGGTCGCACGATTGAAAGCAGTGCTTTGTTAGTGCTTCAATTCGTATAGTAGGCGAAGTTAAGGGGGAAAAAAGTTCTCTTAAAAGTCGATTGAAAGCAATAGTGACGAAACTTATATCATTCTTTAGTGCTCGGTTAGTAGAATAGTGCTTTAATCAGTTTAGTATTAATAAAGTAAACAAAAAAATATATGGAACTTTCTGAAATTCGAAAAAGAGAAGGGGTTTTTGATTTCATATAATGTCAATTTTATCATTTTTTTAATACTATTCATATTTTAATACCACCTAATATTTTGTAGTGTTAAAAAAAATTTGATTTTTTACCATAAAAATTTTTTTTAATTGCTGATAAGGTATTATTAAAATATTTTACTCCTAAACATGTACATATTATTAAGTGCTATTTACAATAAATTTGAATTTCTAAACATATCTGGTTTTTCCGCTGAACTGACAAGCCCCTTACCCCGACTCTAATCCTCGACTCCCCTATGATTCAATTTTTTGAAATAATATATATTAATTATTTGTAGAATTTTTCTTACGTTTAAAAAAAAAATTATTTATTTATTTTAAACTATAAGACCATATTTCTTTTTTTAAAAATAAATTAGGGCCAGGTTCGGTTGGACAAATAATTTGTATTTTGGATGGGAATTTTCGGCGGGATAAATGAATAAATCGTTAGAATTCATCCCGAACTAGATAAACTTTTAAATTACGGTCTTGGCTGGGATATAATTACCCAATGCGGATCCCTAATAGTAAAAAAAAAAGACAAAATTAAAAATATAAATATATATATACAATTTAGAGTAAAATCAGTATTTACAAAAAAAAACTTTTATATTAAATTTTGATAATTATAGTAGTTATTATTCGAATAAAGTTATACGATGTTTCTTACTCGTAACCGCGGAAGAATTAGTTTTTGGGCTCTAGTCTGGTGCTCAAAAATTTTAGCCTCTGGCTCACTCTTGTTATATTTGAATATCTTAAATATGTTAAAAGTTAGGTTATTTGTATATTATATTATTATAACTTTCCTACATTTAATATTATATTATGGAGGTCAAGCATAATATTAGAAGTTAAATTACATAATTATAAAATACTATATATATATAGGAAACAATTTAAAATAAAGTTACCGATTGTTTTGACTATGTATAATTGTAATTATGAAATGTATCTTACATTATTTTTTTCTGTAATATATATACCACGTCTTTATTACAATATCTGAACAAATGATATATGAAATATTTGATATTTTAATAATGATTTTTTAAATTTATTTTTGCATTATCCTTAGGAAAAATTCTCTGAGAATATGTCATCTGAATCAAGTGATTTTGTTGAAGGAAGTGGCAAAATAAAAAAAGATATATTTAAGATTTCCATGACAGGTGATGAATGGAATCAAATATATCCAAATGCCGATCAACCTCAGGATGAAAAGGGGATGGACCCATGTTTTCGAAAAATATATTTCGAATCAAATAAAAATACCTTGTTTGTGGGTATTTAAAAACCATTATGTTTATTCAAACTCAATATAACTAATAAAAATAAAAGCTATATGTAAACAATGTTCAGCTATGTTAATAATTAAAAAATTAAATACTTTGTGAAATATTAAATCTTAAAAATGAATTGCATAATAGTATTTATAAAAGACCGCTAAGTGGGATAAAAAGGGAAGAAGTGGCTAAGGAATTACAAACAGATTTAGCCTTAAACTGGCGTGTTAAAAAAGCCAATGAAATTATGAAATATGGTGAAGTAAAATCAATATATGCTTTGATAAATATTTTATGCACTACTGGTCACCAGAACAAATGATAATTTTTAATAAATATTGCCGATACTAAAGTATCTATACTACATACCAATAAAGATATAATGATTGATTGATTATGCTATCCGATTTAATGTTCGATTTATTTGAAACAGATTGTTGCACTTCTGTTGGACATACAAGGAATGTTCTAATTCACCATATTTCAAAGTTTCATTTGCTTTTTTAATACGCCAGTTTAAGGCTAAATCTGTTTGTAATTCATTAGCCACTTCTTCCCTTTTTATCCCACTTAGCTGTCTTTTATAAATACTATTATGCAATTCACTTTTAAAATATAATATTTCACATATAAATTATATATATGGTGAATTCCATATCAAATCAACCAAGGTTTCAACCCGACCCCTTTCAATTTTTTTTAAATTTTGCATACTGGTGGTATATACTATAACTAAGAAAAAAATGAAATTTTACCTCCCAAAAAGGCTTACCCGCTAAGATATGGGCGTTTAAGGCGCGGAAAAATGGTACATTTTTGACAAAAAGTGCCACATTTATTTTCAAATATCTCGAGAAATAATTAAGTTAGAAAAATAATTTAAATTTTATTATGTAGCTTAATAATAGTTCTTTAATATGACATAAAAATAAATATGATATAAATTTGATGAATGTCCAAAACCGGATGTATAAAACCGGAAATGGCCATAGAAAAAAAAAGGTATTTTTTTTTTCGAAATTTTTTTTCTATAGATAGATATAACACTGCTTTATATTTGTGCCAAATCCTAGCCTGGGATAAAAAAGGGTCTAGGAGTTATGACTCTTTATATGGCTTAAATTGATCAAAAATATCTTCATTTAATGAATACTTATGAAATAATGTTTTTTTAAAAATTATGTCTAAATGATAGGCCCTAACTTTTTTTTATTTTTAATTGTTAACATATTGTGAGTGAATAGATTTGCATTCTTACGACCCAAAAACTGTGTTTTAGCAGGTGGACCAGGTACACATACCATGTGTATCTGCACACTACACCAAAATTTTAAGCTTATTTTAATAGGGGGAAAATTAAAACAGCTTACAAACAATAATGATCATTATAATTATCCTCCAATAAACGATTATAAACATTGTATTGCACAAAGTCTTTGCAATCCTGCCCAGCCTGGATGTTACTTCAATAAATGTAAATTTTGTCCTGGATCATCCCAAATAAAAGAAAGACTTATTATATTATTTGATACGAATTCAATAGATTATATATCATTTAAACAATGGTTGGTAGTTGATAGAACTACGCTCGAAACGCTGACAAAATCAGCTTATAAATTCCTAGATTATTTAATTGAGAAATTAGACAATTTGATTCCACATTCATTTATAGCATCACAACAATCATTATTTCAAAACAATTTAAAATCTAATTTAAATGTTGGCGAATACTTAGTTATTGCTGACTTTTCGGAAAATTATGCATTTTTAGAATCAGTCCACTATTCACCCTTTTATCATTTTTTATCGTCAGGACAACACTATAAAACATATAAGTTTAGTGGTGATATCAGATTGCTTAAAGCACAATGCCTGTGCCTTTTATTTATTTCAAACTAAAATGACCTTATTTTTAAAAGAAAGATTTGATATATTGACCAAAATTTATTATTTTTCTGATTGGGGCCGTAATCCAATATAAAAAAAAAAAAATTTCATAAATCTCTATAATCATGAATGTGATTTTGGTATAAAGGCCGAGTGGCATTTTTTTGCTACAGCTCATGGAATAAGTCCGTGCGACAGTTTAGGAGGTATTACAAAACGGCTAGCAGCTCGAGCTAGTTTGCAACTGCCATATCAAAACCATATTTTGACACCAATGGATTTATTCGACTTTGCAACAAATAATATACATGGAGTAAATTACATTTTTGTAAGCAATAATGAATACAATAATATGGAAAATCATCTAGAAAGCAGATTTTTGAGAGCAAAAAGAATTCAGGGAACACAAAAATACCATGCTTATATTCCCCTTGATGAAAATAAAATTAAAGTCAAAATTTATACCAATTCTTTAGATAATTTAATATATGATATATTGTAAACATAATTATGAATTATTATATTATATGTAATTATGCATTTCAGAAAAATAAAGTTATAAATTGGTTTAGAATTATTTTGTCAAGTAATTTTCAGTCACAACATGTTAACAATTAAAAATAAAAAAAAGTTAGGGCCTATCATTTAGACATAATTTAAAAAAAAACATTATTTCATAAGTATTCATTAAATGAAGATATTTTTGATCAATTTAAGCCATATAAAGAGTCATAACTCCTAGACCCTTTTTCATCCCAGGCTAGGATTTGGCACAAATATAAAGCAGTGTTATATCTATCTACGGAAAAAAAATTTCGAAAAAAAAAATACCTTTTTTTTTCTATGGCCATTTCCGGTTTTATACATCCGGTTTTGGACATTCATCAAATTTATATCATATTTATTTTTATGTCATATTAAAGAACTATTATTAAGCTACATAATAAAATTTAAATTATTTTTCTAACTTAATTATTTCTCGAGATATTTGAAAATAAATGAAGCACATTTTGTCAAAAATGTACTATTTTTCCGCGCTTTAAACGCCCATATCTTAGCGAGTAAACCTTGTTGGGAGGTAAAATTTCATTTTTTTCTTAGTTATAGTTTATACTACCATTATGCAAAATTTAAGAAAAATTGAAGAGGGTCGGGTTGAGAATCGACTTTTTTTGGTTGATTTGATATGGAATTCACCATATATATTATTTAAAGTATTTAATTTTTTAATTAATAACACAGCTGAACATTGTTTACAAAAAGCCTTAATTTTTAATAAATATATATTAAAAGATACATAATGGTTTTTGAACACCCACAAACAAGGTATTTTTAATTGATTCGAAATATTTTTTTCGAAAACATGGGTCCATCCACTTTTCAGCCTGAGGTTGATCGGCATTTGGATATATTTGATTCCATTCATCACCTGTCATGGAAATTTCAAATATATCCTTTTTTATTTTGCCATTTTCTTCAAAAATCACTTGGCTCGGATGACATATTCTCAGAGAATTTTTCCTAAGAATAATATAAAAATAGATTTAAAAATCATTATTAAAATATTAAATATTTCGTATATCAATTGTTATAAAGACGTGGTATATTACAGAATAAAATAAATAATGTAATATATATTTCAATCGGGCCCAGCCCAAACCTAAAATTTTTTAAGCACCAGATGGATTCCAAAAACAAATTCTTCCACGTTACAAAAGTAAGAAACATCGTATACCTTTAATTCGAATGATAATCTACTATAGTTGTCAAAATTTAATGTGAAAAAATTTTTTATTTTTTGGTAAATACTGATTTTACTTCTAAATATCCTTTTCGTTCTTTTAGTTGCATATTTTTAATTTTATTTGTTTATTACTATTAGTGGTCCGCATTGGGTAATTATAGCCCGGCCAGGCCCGTAATTCAAATTTTATATTGTCCGAGACGATTTCTAACGATTCAATCATCCCGCCGAAAATTCCCACCCAAAAATACAAATTATTTGTCCAAAACCGACATGGCCCTAATTTTTTTTTAAAACGTAAGAAAAATTTTACAAATAAAAAAATAATGACCTCTTTTTTTTGCAAAAATTTAAATATATTATTTCGAAAAATTGAATCGTTGGGGAGACCAGAGTTAGTCGGCGTAAGGGGCTTGTCAGTTCAGCGGATTATATTAAAAAACCCGACATATTTAGAAATTTAAATTATGTAATAACACTGTTATAATTTGTATATGTTGAGGCGAAAAATATTTTAATACCCCCCAGCTATTTAAAATTTTTTTTATGATAAATGTGATTTTTTTATGGTAAAAATCAAAATTTTTTTAACACAACATTATTAGGTGGTAGTAAAATATGAATCGTTTAATAAAAAATAAAATTGACATTATATGAAATCAAAAACCCCGCTTTTCGAATTTCAGAAAGTCCTATAATTAGGGGAGACCAGGTATAGTCGGCGTATTATTTGTCAAAATCAACATAGGTCCCAAAATAATTGTATTTGAATAACCATGCGATGGCCCAAACATCTACCCAATCATATACAATAGTGGTTCAGGCTAGATACTCGGTCTACCTTTTCATCTATTTACTACATTTGTTACTAAGATTTATATTATCCCTGGAAGGGGGCGAAGGTGGTATTCCTCTTTACCTAGCATGAAAATACTGTAATCTTTTTTTTTAAAAAAAGAACACGTCAAATATTTTTAAAAGATTCTTTAAATTTCAGTCTCAATATCCACTTATATTCAGTAATATTGTCAGAGTTTGAAACCTTTATAATTTTTATAATCATCTAAATAATTTAAATTTAATATTTTTTCAATATGATCGTTTTAACTTTAAAAAATTAGTTAAAAAAATGAGTTTTTTTTTACGTTAAATAATTTTATATATAACCAAGTTCTGATATTTTCCCGAACCCCATACCTTTTTATTATATATATATGCGTTGCAGGGCTCTATAGTTTGAAGGTAAATCTTATTGTAAAATAAAATTATCGAAGTTCCCCCAATAGTTCAACATTGTTGTGATTGGATAGAAAGGCATGGCGTGATAGACGGCATATACAGGCTCTCGGGTGTGTCCTCTAACATCCAAAAATTGAGGTATTACTATTATATATATATATAAATTTGTCATTCAATTTCTTTCCTCTCTTATTGCTTATTTTTTATCTTTTACATCGTAACATTTTCAATTATAGACCCACTAATAATACGAATATAATAATTGCCTATATTCTTACAAATCGAATAGTTTATTATGCAGCATAGTATAAAAAAATATGCTGTATTTTTTGTACACTTCGCCGCGAATTCGCGCCAACTCTGAATGCATGGTTACTCTTCGAAAATTTATAACAAATTAATAATATGGGAATGTTTTTTTTAAAAACGAGGAATTAAATGCGATAGCACTTATACTTTTAGTTGTACGCATATCAAGATTTGCTCTGACATTAGCAAATCGAATGCTTTAATATTTTCGATGAATTCGATCCTAATAACGATTCTATCATCGCTTATTTTCTTTTGTTTATTATTTATCCTTTCTTTAAAAAAAAATTTTTTTTTCTCCTTCCAATCCCAGAAATTTGTTTGACGAAGAAAAAATTCCTCCTTCCTTAAGCACCGATCGCAAGAAAGATCCGAGTGGTGAGAGCGACGAGGGAGACTGCCAAGAATATTGTCAAGACATCATCCATTCATACGCTTCGGCCCTTAAAATGTACTTTAGGGAACTGCCTAATCCCTTGCTGACCTTCCAACTCTACAACCCCTTTTTGGTATAAATTAAAATACGCTTAAAAACCTATTGGAATTATCGATTTAAAGTTAAAAGATTTAAACTATCATGCCTTCATCAATTTGTAACTAGGGTTGTGAGAATTATCATTACGGTAACTTTCCCACTGGAATTTTTTGATAACCGGGAATCAACGGAAATTTATGGGAATTAATGATATTGCTTAAAAAATTTCATTTTTTATACTATATTTTATTATATTCAAGTAATAACAGATAAGTTTTGATGCGAATAATAAATATGATGAGAATATGCTTTAAATGTTTAGTAAAAATTATTAAAAACTCGATTTCACTTACTATCTGTCAGCAACCCTTTCAATACCATTATTCTGATATTTCAATTTCTGATGAACTATTTTCCTCAATGAATACGCCCGGGTTAAACAACCCTATTTGCAACCAAGAACTTTCTCAATTTTTAAATAATTTTTTAAGATATATAAATATAATTTAAATTGATAAATCTATCTCTATTTATAATTATGAATGGTTTGTTTCACAAATATCGATTTACAGTCAATATGCACTGCACTTATAATACTTTCATTTTTTTTGACTTTGTTTATTCATACAAAATCGGTCATTTTGATAACTTAGTTAACTAAAGTAATTTGGCATGATAAAGAAGAGGTGCCTCTATAGTTTTATTGGACTATTTGATCTCGAAAACAGTTTACAGTGGGAAACAGTAAAAAAATAATAATTTTTTTTATGGGATTCATATAACTAGTAAATTAAATATTAAATTTAAGGAAACGGTCCAGAAACTTGTGACAGACACTTTCGATAAAAACTTACCAAAAGAGATTTGCCATGACAACCATTCCTTCCAATCCTCTGCCAGAAATCATAACGCGTCGTCTGAATTGGTGGGAAAGCTTAAAAGCTTGACCCTTCAGTTACCCCCACCTCATTTTAGGGCCGCTAAATATTTATTCGACCATTTGCACGCTATGGCTCAAATGTCTGGATCCACCAATATGCATTGCAAGAATCTGGCCATAGTCTGGGCCCCCAATTTGTTGAGGTACTATTTTATTTTTTGTTTTTGTGTATCAAAATGGCGATGAATGGAAAAACTATAAATTACGTCATATTACTTTAATCTATAAAAAAAATATGAAGGTCCAGAGACATGCCTCCTTACAACGCTTCCGCTAAGATGCCTCATAACAATCTCCGCCGATCTGTCAATACACTGGGCGCAAATAACACTATGACGCGTGATATTTTACGAGGGGCCAGCGGACAAGCCCTTGTTATTGAATACCTGATCAAGTATTGCCACCAAGTATTTATACACGAAGAAGATTGCAATGGTAAAAAGAAGAGCCATTGCATCGAAGGGAATGGGATCTCAAACGAGAACAATGGGAATGGCGAGATGCGATATACCTCTAGTGAGATATTTTTATGTAGCTATTAACATTTTTTGGTGTATATCATTTTGGAACTTGTAAATCAAACTTATAGCAAAGTATCACATGGAACTTGATATGTTTATTTTATTGTAAATATAGATAGAAAGAAGGAAAGAAAGAAGAGGAAAGAGGAATATGCTTTACTAGTTGAAATGTGTTAGCTTATAAAATTAGATTCATTCATACTTGTATTTCATTTATATATATATATTTTTTATTTAGAATTATTGATTACTTATAATCGCGACGTAAACCCATTGCAGAACGGGAACCTCCATAGCGTCGTTACGAAGTCTCTAAAAATTGATCAAGATAATTCTCCTTTAGAGGTTCTACCCCGAAACTCCGAAATTGTTTGTGAAAAGATAAACCATTATGAGGATAATGGGGACGCCGATCACCGGCTTACTTCAAAAAATGTAAATGGGGATTCTTCCAATTCAGAGTCAATAAATAATAATGATGACTCGAATATCGTGAATAGCAACCTTCTGGAGGATGATGAAAGTAAATTTTTTTTCTTCTTATAGATTTAACTGAAGAAAGAAGGAAAAGTAAAGAAAGAGAGAGAGAAATTATTTTTATCCTAAACCCGGAGCTAAAATATTTAGCCCATATTAGAATGTGACTTTTATTTTGTTCTTTCTATAAAGTAAAAGATACTGCTGAAATTATTCCGTACGCAAATGACAAAGTCACGAAACAAGTAGATGACCACAAATCGATTGAAAACGATGAAGCGCGCATGTTACAAAATGGCGACAACTTCCGGAACAAAAGGATATACATAACCTTGAAAGATGTGGGTGGAGGGATCAAGGCGTTACCAAAAGATTTTCACACGGTCATCCAATCGGATCCTGCTAGAAAATTATTGCGCGACGTCAATAATAGTGATGGTTATCGTCGTCAACACAACGGACAACACGTGTTCGTAGATGATAAAAGAAGAAAGCATCATCATCAGCTGATACTACCCAGGCGAAAATCGGCTACTTTCTTCGACAATGACCCCGTTAATCGTGTCAATAATTTAAGCGGCTCGGGCAATTTGAAAAATCCACGCCATTCCGAATATGGTAGGGGTGAAAATGGAATAAGAGATACAGGTATATTATTTACATTTATCCCTCCAATTTTAATAAATATTCAAAACGTCTATTATTACCCTATATTTACCACAAACACGTAGTAGTTTATTATTCAAGTTAAAAAAACTCTCCCCCTTTAAAAATTCCTTTTCTCTCAGAAGAATTTACGGCCGATGGTTGGGAACCGTGATCACGGAGAGACATTTGTGGATCAGGTCTTCCAAAAAAAATATTCTGGTCCCCAAAAACGGAAATTATAATTTTTATTTTTTGAAATTTTATGCCCATTTGCACAAGCATTTATTTTAAAAGATAATATAACAAATTTTTTTTTTTAAGTTTATTTATTAAAATTATTCATAAATCTTACTTAATTCATATTCTACCACTTTCCCGAATCCAAATTTTTAATATGATGAACTTAGTATTATAAACATATGAGAAAAGATTACAGCATAAATATGATCGAAAAAAAATGCACTCCCACAAAACAAATTGTTATGGCCCTTCCTTTTGCCAAAAAATTGATATTATTAATCATATAAGTAAGAAGGGTAGCAAAGCATAAATAGGATGAATTGTTTATAAAAGACAAGAATCTTTAAAATGTTTTCTTGTGGAATAAATATCTTAAAGTCGGAAGGAAGGGAAGGACCAAGGTAAATATAATTTTTTTTTTCAATATATATTTTCTAGAATCACAGAAAAATGTCCTGGGACAAAAAGCACCCCGAACATGAAGACGTCGAATAAAAATATCCCAATTTTTCATCAAAATATTAAACTCCTTGAAAAGTTGAACATAATTTAAAATAATTACTCTCTTTTAAGCATTTAAATTTTTTAAAAATTAGGGTATTTTTATCCGGAGTGCTTTTGTCTAGAATACTTCTCTCCTGGTCTCTTTGTCTAGGACATTTTTGTCCGTGATTCATTTTTTTCTGGGATTATTATAAAAATAAGAACTATCGGAGTATTATTTCTTTTTGTTTTTAAAAGGAATATTAAAAAATATATTTTTTTTGTCACTATTTTCTTCTATCAGAAAATTGGTTGCCTTTAAAGCCACGAAATCATATAATACTGGAAGACATCTTGGGACAACCATACATTGCCTACAGCAATAAATTATCTCCGGTGGCCACAACGAATTTTAGCAATACCCAAACAAGTATTATTATTTTTTATTATCATGTCTATATTTACTCTTATAAAGAAAGTATACACTTTCTTTACTTTACTTATTTCATTATATTACATGATCTCAAAAATTCGTTTAAAATTATTTATACCTTTTAAGAGTTGTGTGTGTTAGAGAAAGAACTACTAGGTCGAGAGTAATTAATTTATTTAAAGATAATATATAATAATTCTAATTAATGTAAAACACAATTGATTAATAAATTTATTTTAGATATAAAATTAAAAATTTCGTATAAAAAACATAATGGTGATTTTTTGATTTTTATCGTGCTTTATATATCTATTAATAAAATATAATCTTTTTCTCAAATTTGAATAATAATCTTTCATGCTTGTATATTACAAAAATATAATTTTTATGCTTGTTCATATTACAATTCATAAAATACAATCCTTTTTCTTATTTTTGAATAATATTCTAAGCTACATCTAATAAAATATAAATTTTTTTGCTTGAATATTACAAAATAATAATTTGCATAATACAACACCCACGCACTTAAGCAAGTCCTCCACCTCTTTCTTAGTCTTTATCAAGGATTATATTACTGCCTCCTGTCTCTGACGATAATGATAACAAAGCATTATTATTAGTCACATAAATATTAGGGCATACGCGCATCATATGGTTTCCTCCACATGACCAGCATTCTATCTTTCTTTTCTTCACCATTTCTGAGTTCCACCTTTTATCGACCATCATTCGTTTTGTTGGTTCCTGTAAAATTTCTCCATATCTATGTTGAGCCTCTTCACGCGGCATTCAACCAATTCCTGTATTCTACTGAACCATCGATTCCTCTAATCTCTATTTTTATAATCCTATTTCCTACTCCAAAATAGGAAGCCATCTAAAACAGAATTAAACTTACCACATATTATCTTTAAACCTAAATCTGATTTTCTTTTAAAATTTAATCTTTATAAACTCTCTACATCTATGATTCTCATAATTCTTTCAGATTTGTTAAAACAAAAACAAATCCATTATGTATATCATTACCATTTATAATTCTGATTCTCATTATTGTCACTATATAATGGATTTGTGGATTAACAAGTGAAAATAATGAAAATCATGATAAAAAATCACCATTATGTTTTTTATACAAAATTTTTAATTTTATATCTAAAATAAATTTATTAAGTGTTTTACATTAATTAGAATTATTATATATTATCTTTAAATAAATAAATTACTTTCAACCTAATAGTACTTTCTCTAACACATACGACTCTTAAAAGTGGTGCTGGAGAGAGGAAAATATAAAATAATAATTTACATAAAACAACAATACCTTAAATTTTTTCAAAAAATAAATAAAATTTGATATAAATCACCACGTTTTCACATTATCGTTTCCCTGATAAAATTATTACAATTACATTTTTTCTCATAACACCCATCTGACTAAAGCAAAAAAAATTGACCACTATAGGAATGCATGGGTCATTTAAATATATTTATTTTTAGGTTAAAGTGAATGATAAAATGAACCCTAACCAATTAATTGAATTATATTCATCTCCTTAATTTGGCTTATAGAGAACGAGAAAAAGTCGCATTACAGACACAAGTCGGACGATTTTGACATCGTTTTCTTAGCGAAGAGATTGGCACGTAACAATATCATCCATCCCATCACTTCCGACACCGTTAATGGTATGACAAATAATACTTATTAGGAAAAGAAAATTTTTTAGGTCGTGTCCTATTTCGGCTTAAATTGGATACTTAATTGCTTTTTAGTATGGGCTAAAAAGTATTTGATCGAGGACACCGTTTATTTTAAGTATTTAATGGCATTTCTATTTTTCGTATTTTATTCTCGTTTTTTTTCTTTTTTTTCCTTTCTTTTTGTTGTTTTTTTTTTTTTAAATTTTGCATTTTGGCTATAGCCGATACCTAAAAGCGGCTAAATAGCCAGCTATTAAATATTAAGCCTACACAGCCTTAACCCTTCCTAAAAATAAAATTATACATTCTGTGAATTTGGTTATTAATTAAATTATAGTTACAATATTTTCGCTTTATTTTCTTTTCGATTTATGATACATAAATAATATCAAAATATCTAATTATATTTAATATGTAAAATGTAACAAATAAATTTTTTTATATATATTTGCTAATATAAGAACAGGTTTTACAAAATAAATCTTATATCGATAATAATCTTAAATCTTTTATATTTTAAAAGTTGGAAAGAAAGTGGAAATTAAAAGTTTAAAAAGATAATTGCCTGATGGAGGGAAGATATTAGATAAAAAACAATTGAAATTGCCCTTAAGGGTTTCCGTTTAAATTTTGATTTTTTGACGTTGAAAGGTTGGAGAGTCAAGAGAAAAGGGTTGCTAATATTTTTTTAAGCACAAGAGAGAAGGAAAGAAAGATCATTAGTTGCAACACTGCTCATCATTATGATATGTCACCTTTAAAATTATTGTAAATTTTTAAGTTAATCGTTTTTTTTCTATGCAGAATAGAATGCTCAATAAATATATATATATTCTTTTTTAAAAGAGACATTAATTGAATTATTTCTAAAATTTATGCATATCTTAGTCGGAAACCCACCGTTGGGAATAATCAAGGAAGAAAGAACACCCTTGCGTGACGACAATGATAAGAAAGACATTCTCGATATTAATAATGGCCAAAATTTAGTAGCCAAGAACTTCACCTTTGAGAATTCTATCCCATCTAAACTCATAGACTCAGCTTGCCAAACCGATGAAAATATGGCTTACTACCCCGATGGCAATAATACCGAGGACAAACACATTGATAGATATGGTCATCATAATGACAAAACCCATAAAGATAATATGGTTCTCAATAAATCTCGAAAACTTAATAAAGATGTCGACTTATTACGCAAATACAAAAGTTTGGAAAATTTTAACACGATAATAGTACAAGTTCCCCATCCCGAAAAGGTGGAACTAGATGGTGGGCTAAATATTGAAAACTTAGTAATACCCGTTCTCAGCGAGAAGAAGAAAAACGAAAAAGAAATAATGATATGTTATGTCGACAACCCAAACCAAGTCACTACAATTGGCGATAAAATACCTGACTCCACAATTGCCCATTTTACTTTGGAGGAACAAAGTACCGTGAACCAAGATTTCAATAATTCAACGGGTCATGAAAATGATGGTGATTGTAAAGTAATAACTATACCCGTTAGGCCTCCTTCCCCATGCATTCACTCCCTTGTGGGGGATTTTGGTTGCGAAAATTGCCTCTCTGATCAGAAATATTTGAATGACCGGGAAGCGAAATCCTTGAATACCTTTACTCATAATGACTACCATGATGACGATAAAAATTTGTTAGATCAATGTAGTGACGATAACCCTTTAAAATCCAGTTCCTTCGCTAACCTAGCTCTAGATCAGGCCTTCAAAACTCTCTCTAGAGTCAAGTTTGTTAGGAAATCGATTGATTCACTGCGAATCGCCGATAAAGCAGGAGTCATAACTGATTTTAGCTGCTTAAATCGTATTTCGCCTAATAACAGATCTTGCATAGTTAACAGTATTCCTAGAAGACGTATCAAGCAAAGACCCAATCTGATGTGGCCTAGCGTTAATGAAAATATAGCTGTCAAACAAAACGGAGATAATGTCGATTTGGGACTGACAGGAAATGGGGAAAGTTGTGGTTATAGGGTTGTGATGGAACGCAATGCGCCTGTCAGCGGCATCTTGAAGAAAAATCAAGGAGTGGATGATAAAACAAGTTTGAATATTTTGTTGCTGAGTATTTTTGTTTTTATAAATGATAGCGGGCAGATGATTCATTAAATTTATTAGGGCCTAGTCTTCTTAAACCCTTCAGTTACCCTTGTCAAAAAAATGACGCGAACGCTCTTTTGATGATCTGTCAGATCTTAATTTTAAATTGATGCTCCATTTCTATTCCTTATTTTTATTTTGACAATCATAAATCAGACCTTAAACTTTATAAAAACTTTTATTATCCTTATATAAAAATTGAGGATTTATATATAACCAACGCCAAAATTTTCTAATTAAAAAGGTAATTTTTTTAACTTTAAATATTAATTTAAAAAAAATATTAGTCGATATTAAAATTTAGATATTTAATAAATTTAATTTATTCTTTAAAATAATATTAAGTACTCTTGTGGGGTGTGACAGACACAAATCCCTCACAAATGACTTATTTAAAAACTACTTAAAATCGATAAAACTTTAGATATATTTTATAAAATTTAATGAATCTACTGAAGATTTGAGATAATAATAAAATAAAGGTTTCAATTAATATTAATTTTAACACGCCTTAGAGCCTCTAGACTACACGAGACGGGAGTTAATATCGTTTCTCGTATAAATTTGTATTTATGTAATGCGCATTGTATTAATATGGTAGATAAACTTGTTTGAAAATGTTATTTTTTTTAAATATTATCTAGAATATGCTCCTTTTTTTAAATAAAGATTTTAGAAATTTATTAAACGCAAATCAACGCAATTCTCTCCACGATCCCGAAAAACAAATAAATCATTTTCCTCATAAGAGGAAAGTCGAATTTCTCATGTCCGATGGCAGTTCTACCCCGAAAAGTCAGTCATCCAAAAATTTGAGCCCGAATGATAATTTAACGCTACGCCGGGCTCACATAACCATTACCGATGATTGTCAGAGCCTTTTAGACCAAAGACTTCCCTTCCATTCAGATTCACCTTCGATTTCGTCTCCACCTCCTTCAGTACTGGAGGATGATTTAATCGGGCAAAACCGCAACACTGATGAAGACACAAACCTGGACATGGATCCATCGTTTCCCTCCAAGAACCAACGTGTGCCTTGTAGAGTTAAAAGTCTGAAAGAAAAGTTTGAACAAAAATCTGTTCTTCCTCCATCTTCGTCTACTAATAATTATCGTTCTCCCATAAACCCTCGGCCACCAGAAATATACGGGCCCATGTACAGGTTAAAACCTAATCGCTCTTTCCCTTCCCCTTCCTTCAAGGGCTGTTACGACGATAAAAATCTCGCTCATTATGGTAATCACCAAAAAATACTATATAACAACCACGCCCACACGAACGGTCACCGCAGTCCTATCAAATTGGGCGTGGGAAACGTTTACCGGAACAATAACGGAACCTTTACGAAGCCCGCCATCTTTAGCAAACCAAATTTCAATAATAGCCGTAACTTACAAGGTCTCAAACAAATCTCGGAATTTAGATGATGGACAAACACTTCTATAATTATAGCGAATTAATGAAAATGTGATGTTATAATTTTATATTGATTTTCGAAGACGCTATCGTAAATTTTTAAACCTTTTATAAAAAAAGAAATTCTTTTAAAATTTAATCTAGGTTTTACCAAAAAAAAAATATATGTAATGTTTTATACATATATATGTACTACTACTAGATTAGCGATTCATTCATTAAATACATTTAAAGGTGCCAATGCATAGAAGTCAGCTGTAGCATCATTTTGTGGTTTGCTGCTTAACTGGCATTCTTATAATGGTCAGAAAAGGATCAGTCGGCATGCAAACCACAAAATCGCGCTGCATCTGACTCATGTATGCACACTTTTAATTACCGCCAATTTACTGGTGTATATATATATATCATTCGTTTACAAAATATGTAATCTATATAATATAATGCATTTAAAAAAAAAAACAAAACCATCTGTCTAGTATTATATTTTTTATATTTATTATTGAATGTGTCGTTTAATTTATATTGTAATTTTTTTTTTGTATTTAAATATTTTTTTTTTCATAGTAAATAATAACTTTTTTGGATAATATTTATTTTTCCGTTTTGTTTATCAAATGATTTATAAATATTTGATAAAAAAAATGGTCGAGTCTAGTTATTACATAATGAAATTTTAGTTTTTATTTTACTAAAAATTAACTTTATTTAAATTATTTTTTTCAAAAACCTGCAGGCCCGGCCCGGTTTTTTAATTTACCCGCGCCGGGCCTGAAATTTTTTTAAAAAATATATCCAACCAAATATTTGAAATCGTCATTTTTAGCTGTAAAACTCAAAAATATTTTTAAAAAACTCGCGCCAGGCCAAAAAATTTGTTAAAAAATCCAGGCCATACAAATGGTACCTCTGCAGTTCTCTGATTTTTTTACAAATGTTAATTTGTGAAGCACGAATTTAATCTATAATTGTTTATTATGAACTTAACATAAAATAGGAATAAGAGGTGGGCACGGCCCTTGAAAATCCCCATAATTCATGGGGTCACACCGTGAACATGAATAAATTTTAAATTTCTTACGGTGATTGGACATGTCGAGCTTTTTCAAAAAAATCTCTGGGCATAATTAGAAATTTTTGCGCGAATCATGGCAAGTTCTAAAAAAGTAATATCTTTAAAAACTTCACCCCTCTTTTATTTTATAACAAGATTTTCCCCAAAAAATTACTCTTCCGATTTTATATCAAAAAACGGATTATTTTTATTAAAATTCAAGAATTTTCACAATTTTAAAAAATTTTAACATATTTTTTTTATTAAAGTTTTAGAAATTTGAATCTTTTATTTTTTCAAAAAAAAGTAGCTAGTAAAATTTTGTCAGTTTCAGCCAGTTCGGGTTTCCAGTGTATTTTCTATAGCCAATAATAGTTTGTTAGAAGACGAATGCAATTGAAATAAAAATATTGATTCAACTTTTAAATAAAAATATTGATTTATAAATTGACTTGATTAATAAACTCTATTGCAAATATATATAAAAAGATTTGTCAGATTGAATTTTGAAAAAAGAATCGAAGCTTATTAAAAAGTCAAATTAATTTTGACATCTTTTATTTTTTTAAATATATTAGTTAATTAATGATTCAATTGTTATTAATATTTCATAAATTACAATGGCCAATATAAAAATTAATAGCTTACGAGTCAATAGTTGTATTAGAAAAGTAAAATACCAATAGCCTCAAAATTCTTATAAATTTTGGTTCTGGGCGATTCCGTGGAAATAATTTTTTGAAATCTCCCTTATTTATTTTGCAAATTTCTATCATTTTTAATATAAGAACGAAAGATCTGAACCGATATCATTAAAGTATACGAGCATCTTGTTAAATCCTTTCCATATATTTTTTAATCAGAGAAGTCGTGTAAATAAGAACATTAAAATTGGAAGTTCTCAAGTCTTTTTTTTAAAATCGATATCCATTTAAATTTATCAAAAAATTAATATAAATGATAATAATGGTATATTGCAAATATAACAATAATATATTAAATTTAAATAAATTTCTATATAAAAAAATAATTATTATTTTTATTTCTTCAATATTGCTTATCGAAATCTACCAATCCCAGCAAAGGCTGATTTTGTTCGTACCTACTTAAGTTCTCTTGAAAAACTTTAGCTATCTAAACAAATATTAAATTTTTAAAAAATAAAATAATTTTGATATAAAAGATTAATTTATCTTATTTGACACTATAATGGCATCGCCGGATTTTATGATAAAATGCTCAAATTCAATTAGGATCATATAAATTGATGAATAGAAAAGTATATCTTAAACGTGGTCAATTTGTTGTGATGTAACGCTGATGTTCTTGTAAACAACCAAATTTTATCTAAAAAATCTTCTGACATTGAAACATATCTAAGCCACTAGCTTTGGTTATTGGTCAAAAGGCCCAAACTTTCTATCATATGCGAAATCTTGAGGCGTGGGTGATCTTTTTTTGGCTAAAATATTGATACCGCCTCTAAATTGATGTTTTTTATAACACTCGCTTATAGTATTTTTTTTTAAAAAAATAACTCTTATGGGAAGAAGAAAAAAGAAAGTTGCTAGACAATTTATGCCCATTCTCAATTGAATAGCAACAGCAAGATTAACAGATGTAATTATGAATATTATACAACGAATGTTAGTGTGATTACCGTATTTGTAATCCCTGGGGTATAATCATAATTGAAATTTTCTTTCTTATAAAAACATTTAGTGTTGTTAAACGGCTTGAACCGATTTTTCAAAACGGCTAACTCAATATTTTAGCCAGAAAAATATTGCCTATGCCTCAAGATTTTAATAATATTGTCTAAACCTTTGTTCCTACTATGAGCAAAATCTTCAGGCTAGCGTTCTGAGGGAAATACTGAATTAGCCATTTAAAATCGGCTCAAAACGAGCCGTTAAAAATATTTATAGTTATCTTGAAAATCAAATATTATGGAAGAAATGCGTCGATAAATGGAATAGTTAATCAAATGAAGATACAAAAATCATGTTTTTAATATAACTTAAAAATGATTTTAGGTTTTTCGATATATTATTTGACTTAACTAATGAAGGCATGCATGTAGCGGAAATGTGAGGGGTTATGGTGATCTAGTAAATAAAAAAATATAGAAAAATTTATATAAGGATATTGGTTAGTTTAAAAAAATAATAATATTTTTACACCCTATTTAATTAACAGCACGAAACAGTCAGAAAGAGACTAAGGGACTCAACAGATACAGATACGTTCATACCACTATTTATCTTGATATTGTAAAATAGTTTCCTATAAACATATTAAGAAATTTTCCTTTTTGAGTGCCTGTGACAGCCATCAGAGAAATTATAACTTAATATTTCTTTTCTTCTTATTTAAAAGGAAGTAGAAAAACCAAGCCATAAAACCTCCCAAACAAAGAAAGATCTCATCAAGCTTAGTCATTCTTTTCTCTTCGTCCCCCCCACTCCTCCAAATAAACGCTATTTTTGTTTTGAGCACAGTTTTGGGATTCGAACTAAAAAAGGGTTCGGTTGAATATTATTCAAAGAGAGATTATATTTCCGATTGAGATGTTTCTAGTATTTTTTAAAATATTTTATCCGGGTTTAAAGTTTCCGAGGGATCATAAAAGTTTTGAAACAATATACAAATTTGTTGTTACTATTGTTATATAACTTCTATTGAATTCGAGGGGAATTCTGGCTCCCGTAAATTGTAAGAGGAGGTTGTTGTGGTTCTTAAGTTTGAGTCAACGGTTATATTTTTTTTTGGTTTTCCCCCCAAAAATTCTGATTTTAAAGCGTTAATCATTGCGGTCTTAAAATAAAATGGATATTCAAAATAGAGCTCGCGTTATAACCTGAGGCATATCCCATAATTTGCTCGTGGGCGTTAACGGTTCTTCCTCGAAAACGTCCAATATGGCTCCAGATATCCAATTCTCACTTGATATATAAGAAAAAAAATGAGATTCGAAATTTTTTAATTATGTATATTTGTTTGTTAAATTCGGGGTTTTGAACCGAACCGCTAATCCGGAACGAGACGTTATAATTTTTTGACCCGTAACCGAACGGTTATATAGTAATATAAAAATAGCGAACCGAACTGTTATACATATTTTGAGCATTTAACCAGGTTCATAAAATTATTATCCTTTAATTTGAATTTGAATTTTCCTTGGGAGCAATTTAAAGTGATTTCCTTTCTGGGCAAATAGAGGTCCAAACCTTTCTACCAACTATACATGTAAAATATTTACATTATTAATTGAAATTGATAGATACTCAATAATTTATTTGAAATTACTAAGCCTTAAAGGAATTATCTACTAATTCTACAGAAAATCTTCACGAAGGAGTGGCCGGGCAACCCCATTTTGGTTTTTATTAACGATATCGAAAAGAGCATTAAGGAACTAAAAGGGAAATAGATAAAGTAACTAATTTAAGATGTATTTTTAATTATTATTATAAAGATTTATAAAAAAATATAATTATTATTCGCAATAACACGATATTTCTCTCTGTTTAGTCATAAATGCATTTTATAAACTCATATTTAATATAAAAAAAAAATTTAGAATATTTTTCTTTATTTAAGCGGTCAACACCCTCCCATAAACTTATATGGTTAGTGCAAGTGTAATGCAAGACAAAAGATGAGTAGGTAAAGAGTTGCTTGATGGAAGTAGTGGAGGATCAAGACCTCGAGGAAGGTCTAAGATGACGTGGTTTAAGGTGATAGAGATGGATATGAGAAAAATGAATCTTAACGAATATTGATGCTCAGGACCGTCAAAAGTGGAAAAAGAAAATTTAGTAGGGAAACTGACTAACCTGGAAATCGCCATTAAATGGAGAAGTAGAATATTAAGCGGTCAAAATAATATCTCGTAGATTTAAATTAAAAGAAAAATATATAGTTATATAATAATGATATAATCACGATTTTTATTGTTTAAATATCTTTTATCTTACTCGATGGCCCTTATAATTTCGTCTTCGGACACGATGTCTCCTCTTCCCAAATTGATAAATGTTGGTTTCTGAGAAGAAGAAGATGAAAAAAAAAATGTATTTAAAATTTCAAGATGTCTAATCGCGTTTTTGTTTATATTATATTAAATGACATTAGCGCCCTGGAAAACCCCCCCTACATAGGCCAAGCCCAGCTTTGTTTTACATTTTATGGGAGACGATAGAATAGATATGTATATATTCTGTAGTAAAATTAAGCTGAAAATGGTATAAACCCTTTTTAGTCACCTGCCCTTTAAGTTGCTATTTTATTAACACATAAGTGTCCTAATATTTAGTATGGCTATTGAATTAGCAAAATTCTTCAGGACCAATATCTATCTAATATCATCCACTTACGAGGTTATGGTTAAAGCCAGCCATAAGAGAAAGGGATTAGGGTAAATATTATATTTTCTTATATTTAAAATAATAGCTCAGCTACAACACACTTACCGCGTAAAATAATCAAAAAAAAATGCAGTGACCACACTTAATTGCAATTTTTTTTTCTACTTTTAAAAAAATTTACATAGCCTGTTCTTTATAGGGTTAATACCTAAAAGGAAACGGGCACAAGGGGAGGGGGTTTAAAATAGTATCCATTTACATACCAGGAAGAGCCAGGCCCTGTTTAACGACGCTATGCAGGGGCCTACCTGCTAGGTCTCTCTATATATACACACCAAAAAAATAATATATACATGAGGTTCGTTAGAGGCGGGGGAACGGTTGAGTTCTATACCCCTTAGAAAAACATTGGGGAGCCCCTGTAAATTTTTTTTAAAGCCCTCAAATTACTGAATAAATAAGGTATCCAAAATTTATTTATAAAATAAAAGGCATTAATTAATTTGTTGTAATTGAGGACAATTTAAAATTGCTTGTGGTTATGTCAGAGACCTGCAGAGGTACCATTTGCACGGCCCTGATTAAAATTTTCGGCCAAACCCGGCCCAGATTAAAATTTTTATAATTTTTTACGGCCCGGCCCAGGTTTAAAAATTTTAGGCCCGGCCCAGATATTAGTAAAAAATATTTTGAGGGCCCGGCATAGATTTAAAAAAAAAAATTTTTTAGGCCCGGCTTGGAATTTTTTAAAATTATATTCGACCTGGTATACACAAAAAATTCCTCTATTTAATATTTTATCATATTTTCGGCGAGTATATGTTGTTAAACGGTTCATTTTAAGCCGATTTTTAAAAACGGCTAACTCAAAATCTCAATACTATATGTCTAGACCTTTGCTCCATCTATGAGCAAAATTTTCAGACTTGCATAATATTTTTCTGGATAAAAAACTGAGTTAGCCGTTTTTAAAAATCGGTTCAAAACGAGCCGTTTAACAACAGTAATTATTTTTTTTTATTCTAAACAGATATTTAGTATATTACAAATTGATACTATAAAAAATTTGTGATATTTTGAGAATATACTATATTAATTGTATTTATAAAAAAAAACTGATATTTTAATTAATAAAAAATATAACATATATGATATAATAATGTATTTAATCCTTTGCGTATTTATTCCATGGCAGGAAAACTATAATTATATTATGTAATAGATACTATGAGTGTTAGCTAGTGTTAACTTTCACCCAACATTATATTAATCATAACTTTATATAATCATTATAAACATATATAATTGACGAATATAATTCATGTTGTATATTTTAAAAAAATACGGCCCAGCCCGGGTATTTTAAAAAAAAAATTTTCAGACCCGTCCCTGGTACCCGGGAGAGGTCTCTGGGTTATGTTTTATAATTAGCAAATATATAAATTGGTCAATTATCATTTTTATTTGAAGGATTTTCTTATAGTATGTAAATTTTATTTTGTTTAAAATTAATAAAAATAGTGATACTAAAAATGTTTTTTAAAAAAAGGATTGAAAATGAAATTATTATTAAAGTTTTTTTCGTTTTTATGATAAAATAAAAATTTTTTAATTTTTGTAAATTCTGTTTCTTTTGATAATATATTAAATATTAATTAAAAGTTTTGTGATTTTAATTTAAAAATTAATTATTTATAATTATTTTAGTGAAATATATATCTTTAAAACTCTTTGTTGGCAAAGCGTGTCATATATTACAAAAATAATTGAAATTTTAAACTTATTCTTGAATCCATGTTTTGTTTGGCTTTGATAAAATACAAAAATTTAAAGTTTTTTTTTTAAAAAAAAAACAAATAATTTTGAGAAAAATCTTAATAAATATCCTTATGCAAATTTAATACTCAATTAATGGAGGGGAAATAAAAAAAAACCTTGGCTTTGGCGTGACTTAAGATCCCTCCATTCAACATTCCCTTGGTTAAAGGGGTACTAGGCAAAATCGATATGATATAATCGCAGTGGGACAAGAAGACAGGCAAATCCTTGGTAAATCTGAAGTGAACGAATATATTAAATTAAAAAATACATTTAATATAATGCGGTTTGGATATTTAAAATTTGATTTCTTTCTTTCTAAAGAGCCACACTAAATAAAAAAAAATACTAGTCAGTAAATTAAAAGACCTATTGCTACCACAGTTACGTTTAATCGGAATTAGCGTTTAACGCGATACCGCAAATAGTAAGGCGTTTCGTTACTTTCCAAAAACAAAAAAGTAACGCTCTTACTGATAACTTGCACTTTAGACATTGTATTTTAAATAAGTTACTTTTACTTTTTTTTAATTAATTTTTTCTGGAAAATTAATTAAAAATCTTGTTTTTTGTTCTTTTTTTTCCCCATTAATGTTGAAGGCTAAAATGAAAATTAAAACAATCTTACATAAGCTAACATATTTTAAAAAAAAAATCTTTTTGTAATTAATCATCGTTAACCCTGTAACTTAAGAAAAACAAACTAAAAAGGAAAAGGGAAGAAAAATGCTTATATGCTTAAAAAAATAAAATTATTTAAATGTTATTTGATCCTACGTTTACGATGTGCTAGAGGCTAACCCATATTACATTCGTGTTAGTCGGTTATTAAAAAAATAATTAATTTGTTTGGATATAAAAATTATGAAGTTTTTGTGATTATAATAATCATTTTATTTTTTATTCCAAAGTAAGAATCACATAATTAAACCAGGAGTCAGAAGTTCCCTTAAAGAGAGATTTACTTAAATAAGACTAACCAACTACCAAATCTAAAATGATCTAGTAATTGTCGTATATCGTAATAAGCGAATCATCAAAGTGAGAGGGTTTGGAAAAGGATAGGTAGGGGAGGATGGGGTGATGTTCATTTATTTTAAAATAAATACTTTATAAGTATAAATAGTAGAGTACTTTTACGTGATATCATAGCAAAATTTATTTTCTGTAGGCCTGTCTGATCGCACCAAGACAACTATTTTAGAACCGAAGACCATGCAAAGCTCTGCGACTAAACAAAAAAAAATTTTTTTCAAAATTTAAAGCAAAAAAATATTCATTACCCCCCCCCCCCCTTTAACCTTCTACGTTTATTATTTTAAAAAATGAAATAACTTTTCCATCTATTATATACATATTTAATATTAAATGTCTGCATCGGTTCACTACTGCCCGTTATGTTGCGCAAGTTGCCTGGCCCGTTAATTTTTTTAAAAAATTTTGACCGGTCCGGCTTGAAAAAGGAAAAAGTCAAATTCAGCCCCTGCTCATTAAATTTTTGTTTTGTACGTATTTTCTGACGATCACATTTTTAATGTCTATAACTAATTTTTCCCCAATGTCAATTAAAGTTCCTATACCCCTCCCCCCTATGGCAATCTTTTTCTACGACAGCAATTCTTATAAATCAATTGGGTTTGAAATTTGTAATTGGAATCATATCAGAAATAAATTTAGTAATTTAATAAGACAGTTCTTAAAATTTCAAAAAAACAAATTTATTTTTAAATAGCAAAAATCCGGGGCCTGGCATTAGACATTTGCGAAACTGCGTAATTTTTTTCTATGTACAAACCTACTTTCATAATCTAAAGCGAATTCGCGACGAAGTATAGGAAATATGATTTATACTTAGTCCAATGACACATAATAATAATACCTAGACTGACGATGCACTCTTTAAAAATGTACATCAATGAAAACAGCTGGGGACGCCATTTTGGTTACCCATATCATTATTAAAAAAATTTTAAATGAGAGGCCAATTTATTCCTGTATCTGACGTAAACTTTATTAAAGAAATGCTTGATTGTCGAGATAATAAGGAAGCAAGTTATCAATTTAATAGCAGTTTTTAACATGAGAATAATTATTATATTATGGGTTAACAAAATGGCGGGTCCAGCTGATCTGCATTCAACGACGATTTCAAGTGCATTATTATGAATGCATCGTCAAGCCCCGAATTTGCGCTAAATGTGAATGCAGGGTAAGTTGTCAGGCCTGGCTCTTATTCTCATGCATGAATTGTCCGACCCGTTAAATATTTTGCCCTGACAGGCCCGTTTAAAAAAAATTTTTGCGAATTTAATATTTATCGTTTATTATTATATCATAATCATGTTTAAAAAAAATGGCGTAAATTAAGATTACATTTATATATGGTGTTATTAAAAAAAAAGGATTTATATTAAAAATAGATGGCGTTAGAGAATATTTTTTTCCCCATTTTCGTTATTTTCTCAAATTTTGAGAATAACTGCATCAAGTATTCAGCCCTTAATTATTAAGTTTTTTTCTCAGTCTTGAGCAAATAGGGGAGTTGTTGGTATGGATTTTAATTTTTTTGAATAATTTTATCTAAACCATGTGAAATTTGATTTATCATTAAATTCTTTTTGTATTACAAATTAGGTAAGTTAAATATTTTTAGATAGAACAATATAAATAATTAAGCATCGAATTAAAAAAATATGAATTTCTTACTACTATTTTTTTAAATATAAAATAATGTGACAAATTCTTTTTTTTTTAAATATAATATTTTTTTAAATCTACCCGTTTTCCCGATATCACCAAAGCCCATTAACCCAATAGTTAGATCTGACATAATTCTGTAACCCCATCCATTTTTGGACCTATTTTACCAACAAAGAATATTTTATTAAGTAAAATTTATCATAATAAAATTGGCCTAAACTGACAATATATTATTGATATGAGAAAACCATGTAAGTTTTTGATTTAACAAAATTATATCTTATATCATCTATGATTTTATATATATAAATAAATTTTTAACAATCAACATATTGTTTGATAAAAAAAATGTGTAAAATATAATCCAATTTTAAAAAAATTATTAAAATATATGAAATATTTAAAGATATAATTATTTTTGCTAAGGCAATTAATTAGAAGAAAATATTTAAATTTCAAAAATGGCCTTGAATAGTTAATTTTAAATAAATGAAAGTAAATAATTATAAAATGGTAAGTTAAGACTAATGAACAATTGTCAGAATTTTAGGAAACAAATTTTAATAAGAATCAAAAGTACATCAACTAAATTTTAAGCTCTATAAGCATTTTATTATAATTTATAACAATAATAGCCTCTATATATGTGGATCTTATGACATATATATTGCAGCTATATGCAGTACACTGTAGCAAATTAAAATTATGCTATCTAATCATTAATTTAAGATTTGATAGTGACAATTTTATAGTAAAAAATAAAATGTTCATTCTAATGAGCTTATACTGGATACATCGAAGAACCTCGAAAATGGTATGACAGTGATTAATTTAAAAAATATGAAAATGAATTAAAATATACAATCGATTAATATACCATTTATGTTGCAATTGGTTGTCATGCATTTTAAAATAGTGTCGTTCATTTCCAATAATTTGTGATATTACATATTCAGCCATAATTTTTCCATAAATTCCAATCATACGTGTGAATATAAGATTTTTAGGGATCTTTATAAATAATATATGATATTATAAGATAGTAAATATTACTCTATCTCTATTAATATTATCAAAAAATCCATCTACCCCTATAAAATGAGTGTGAATTATATCTTTCTCAAATTTTAGTACCAGCTGATATACATTGTATCCATTTTAGTTTGGGCATAAAGGGTATCAAATGTGCAGCAATAGTGGGGTCTGCTACCATATACATATAATCTTTGATGATATCTATAGTTTCACCGTTTAATAAAGGCAATTTTCCTATTTTATTGTAATATTATCTAATAATTCATCAAAAAATAAAATACCTTCCAAAGGAATTGTATAAAAGTTAACTTGGGAAAATGTTCTTATTATATATTCGTTAGCACCTGGCACCCATACCGCAATAATGGCTTTCTGAACTGTATTCGAATTCATATAAATTCAAAAATTTCGTTAAAAAAATTGGAAATTCAAAAAATGACCAATGAATCTACTAAAGAAATAGAAAAACTAACTAAATGACAGATGCCAACTTTTGACATCATAAAAATAATCTACATATAGAACTTATAAGCAGTAGCATAGCTAGAATTTATCCATAGGGGGTGGGGAGGTTTAAAATATCTCTTTTCCCTTCGACCATCGGCCTGATCCATAAAAATATTATATAATATTAATTTTTAAGTAATTATTTTTATATCATAGTTGGCTGAACAATTAAAAATACTTTCTAAAATTTTCCAATATATTGTACTTTATTAGTGTCTAACCACTAAAGGATAAATATAAAAGAAAAATAAATAATAACAAAATTTTGGCCAAATTTATGATTAATAAGTGACTGATTATTCTGAAATTTTATCAAAGTTTAGTGATAAATTGTAAATTAATTCAATCCATTCGGTGTGGAATGAGAAAAAAATTACCGCCCAAGACTCCCATTTTTTATGATCACTCAATATATCTTATTCTATGTTAAAAATAATTATTTTAATTAAATTTTTGTATATAACATCATGTTATTAATTTATAATTGTTTTTTAAAAAATATCTTTCTAGTATGCAGATAATATTTTTTCTCCATCCTCGGGTCTACAATACCTGAAATATTTACAATATATCTTTATAGCCACACCCCTCCTTATTATTTAATATTTTGGTAAATATAATTTTTAATTTAAACCATATGATTATTTAAATTGGAAATTATTATATGTTTTTTTATATATTTCATTTTCATATTTTACATATTATTTATTTCCATTTTATAAATAAAATTATTCCCAATAAAAAAGGGGGGGGGGGGGGGGGTTCAACCCCAAGTCCCCCTCCCCTTGACTACGTCACTGTTTATAAAGAATGAAAAACAAGTCCAGACCATGCCTGTGCCCTCAAATTGGTTTAATTAAACTTTCCTTTAATATCTTATTAGATTTAAGACTAAATTTTTGGAAAATTATACCCTTTACTTTTGTTACATAGACATATCTTATTATATTATAAAATTTTAATCAAATATACAAGATTTAAACTATTTATAATGCTATTTATAAATATAAATTTTGGTCTAAATGGACTTTGTAATACTTTAAAAACAGTAAACAAACCGTAGCTTTCATGATATCCTCACACAAATTACAACATTTATTCCCTAAACCATATCATATATAATTGTGAGGGGTTTACCTAATTTTAAGGAAAATAATAATGAAGCAAAATTACATTTTATTAGACGAAATTTGTAAATAAATTAGCTATGCACCCCCCCCCCTAAAAATGTATAGATTATTCATATTCGTTTCTTTTTATAAATGTACAAATATTTAATTATAATAAAATATTATTAAATTTTAAAAAATTAGAAAATTAGAAAATAAGAAAATTTCTGTAAAAAACTCCTTAATTCCTATTTTCATTTGAAGGGATTAATTCTTACTTCTGATTAGACTTGCCATTCGTCCCGCTTTAAGTTGCACAGTTCCGCTAAATGAATTTCCGTCCCACAAATAAATAACACGAACATATGTCCCGCGAAAGTTCAGCAAAATGAATAAATTAAAAAATCCAGCTATAAATTCCGCTAAATTTATAAATCTTAAAATTTCATAAATCTCTAATTTATTCACAAAATTTAGTATAAAAAATATTAATAATAAAACAGCTATAAATTTTATCATGTGTTATCAAATTTCTTTATTTTAAGGCTAATTTTGAAATGGGATTTTTCCGTTGCGAGTGGATGCTAATATAAAAGTCATATTAATTGCACTAGAATATTGAAATTTTGAACATCTTATTTTACAAGAAGTTAAATAATATATATTAAATTTTGTTCTTTTAGGATTAATAGTAATGAACATTAAATCATTTCAATATCGATAGTAATCATTTAAGACTTACACTAAGGAATTTAAACTTAAATTCAGCCACCTCACACACTTAAAGTAATTAAATTATGCTTAAGTTCTCGGCCCTTTTCTTTTCTTAACCTATGGACGTTTAAATGGCAGTTCTCGGACTGTTGTGCGTACAAGTACGTGCGGCTTGCCCACAAACGTGTAGAGGGCTACTAATTTTTAATTATTCATCCAACTTAATTTAATCCAGTTAGATGGAAATGACGAATACCTAGCGAAGCTCTGTTGAACCTTTAAAGGTAGAAGGCATAAGTATTATAAATCATCTATCACATAATTTTGAAATGAATAACTTGAAAAATATTAAGATTGTATATTTATACCATGTAAACTCTACATCAAGTTGCGAAGAAAACGAAACCTATGTTTATGTTCATTTATATAATATAATTTCTTAAATTTATTTTAATAATATATATATTTTAATTTGCTATAATGAGTGTGTTCCTAAAAAACAAGTATAATTATGTTTTAAAGATTCAAGTTGAAGTTATTGTTTAAAAAATATAGATTCGCGGTATTCGTTTGTTATTTTAAATATTTTCCCCGATAAAATTTTAAAAAAAGATATGTTGACTGGGAAAAATTGCCGTTAGTTGATATGACTATTGGCTGAAATATAAAATTATTGATATTTGAATATTTGTTAATTTTTTTATTTTTCCCGGTAGAGGGTTAGAATTAATTGAGGAAGGAAAGGAAGAACGCAGGTTGCGTCCCAAATAAGAGATTTGCCGTTGGACCAGGGGGTACAGGTTAAACCGTCGGGTCCGAGTCCATCCTGTAATGAATGATTAGTTTATTGGAGGATGTTGGGAATTTTTGCCTTATTAAATGCGTTATGGATGATTTTGTTGATTCTTTATCGTTGGATTGTAATAATTGTATGTCGTTAATATCAATAGGATTATAGTTTGTAGGTTCTTTATTAGGGGTACAATAATAGATTTGTTGGATATTTCGGTTGGAAATGTAAAACCGTCTGAGGTAAGTTATTTCAACGTTCGATTGCGGTTAAAAGATCATGATTGGGTGTTATAAATGATGAGATCGCTGAATTGAGGGATAGGCGATTTGAGAAAAATAAAGATACGGATAATAGTTCTAAAGGAATCATGTCGATACAATCTAGTTTAGCAGGTAATTGGTCAAGGTGCCAATAAAGTCCGCTAATTAGAGGATTCTTTCTACAAAGGTTTTTAAGCGAATATCATGTTGATTGAAAAATTTTGAGGCGGTAAATGAGGAGGATGAGTGGAAAAGATGCGAGATTTTAGATAGATAAAAACATTTTTTTTTAATAAATAAAAAAGTTGGTGTGAGGGAATTAGGTTAATAAATCAAGGTTTTGCATCTCAGAAAATATTTTAGCGATAATATTTTCCGATATATTATTATTTATTAATGGGGAGCCTAAGAGTTGGATATATTCTTTTTCAATAATAGTGTAATCTTTAAAAAAATCCGTGGGTATCTCCGGGTTGAGGAAACATGTTTCTGTTTTGGTTTTGTTTAATTGTTAACTGATGCATTTTATTTTGAGATGGCTAAGAGCATTGATTATCTGATGTGAATTACCGCATAGTGTGCCATGATCTAGGTACCACTAATTAAGGTCGAAATCTAATCTAAGTACTTTCATCATGTTGTGAATAACTAAGCAGAAGAGAATATGGCTGAGGGGGTCACCCTGTTGTATTCCCCATTCGGAAAAAAAAATGTTACCATTAAAAATGAGGGGAAAGCTATTGTTATAGCAAATGTCTAAGGAGCACTAATATTAAGGGAAATTATCGTAAAAAGATTTGAGTGGCGAGGAACGTGAAATTGTATTGAAGGCATTCTTGAAATCGATTTTGCATAACAAGGAGTGGATGTTGAAGGTAAATTCGTAGGCAATGAGAGACTTTATCTATTGCCTCCTTTAGTTCCTCATCCTAATTGGTATTTGATCAGAAGGGACTGAGAGTCGGATTTTATTTTTTTTATAATAATTTTGGCAGAGGTCTGAAAAGTGAACCGATTGCAATTTGGCGGATGCCTATAATAGGTTTTTCGAAAGTAATCAAGTTAGCACCAAACTGATGAACTAATGTAGGTATATCTTTAGTAGTCATATAATCAAGTAAGTGAGTTAAAAGGATTATGGAATTATGAGAATTTAGAAATGTTTGGAAGTAAGATGGTCTATAGCCAACCAGGTCTGCTGCTGAAAATTTATTAAATTTCTTATAGTTTCGCAAATATCTTGGTTTGTGATTATGAAAGGTGGGATATTGAACGGTGAGTTTGGTAAGCTTGTATAAGAGGTGCGTGAATAAAAGGATTTTAGGTTGTCAAGGGTGTCGTCTTTGGAGATAGTTTAGTTTGTGAGATATTAATTTTCGCGCGCCGAATAGGTCGTCTTTATTTATTTTTTGGGATATTTTATTGTAGGTTTTACTGAAACTTGCATTATGATTAATGCGATTTTAATGTATTCTAATTGTGTTAAGTTTTCCAGATTTTTGAGTCTGTCTTTTATTAGGTTAGGTTGTGAGATAGTTTGTTGTCTTTTAGGATTGAGAGGCATTTGAAAAGGAATGTGAAGAGATTATTAAATAGATCTGGTAATTAACACTAGATGGGATATGTTTTATTGTTGAGATTTTTTTGATAAAGATAAATCCTTCTAGAGATTTGTTATTTACCTATGTGTGTTTAGTATTAACTGGGGGTTCTATTAATTTTGTGCAAAGTCCTCATTAATAAAAGATTTTCCTATATTTTATAGTTTAAAAGTAAAATATTAACTGAATATTTTATTTTATATGTTTGTACCTTATTTTACTATTTTTGGAATTACGATCTTCATTATATCACCTTGCTTTACCTATTTTCGGAAGTCCAATACATTTTATTTTCATATAATATATTTTATAATTTAAATCTTGTTGCAATCAAATTAAGAATTATTGATTGTCGATGTTTTCACAAATGTTAATTATATCCATTAATAACCATTTATTAATATTTGATTCATTAATTCGGATTACAAATTTTATAATGATCCTGAATATGTAAAAATTTTAAAATCTTTTCCTTTATTGTCTTTCTTTCGCATAGTAAATAAAATGCATGGTCATCTACATGTCCATTTACATTTTCATGAGTCTCAAGTAGTATGAAAAGTTGACTAGAAAGTCCTGTACTATTACCCTATTTTTCTATTAGATGAGGAATTTTTATAAATATCTTAGTTATCTACCTACAAAATGTAAATAATGACTTCTAATCAGAATTAGCTCTATTCAATAATTTTCAAGAATTTATGATTGCGACATCAATAAAATGTATAAAAATGGGTAGCCACCATTTTTATTCTTATATATTTATTGTATTTGGTGACATTTATATATCTCCTAGATTGCCATTCTATGGGAATTATATGAATGCATCAGGTCAAATTAATTTGAGGAATCTAACGAGAGAATCTTAAACATTCAGTATGTTGTAACAATCGCTATCATTTTGGCCCTTATCTCTTTCATCATAACTTTTGTGGACTAGGGGGTTGAAAACTTTTCCCTTATACTTCCAATTATGAAAAATCTAAGAAGTTTTAGATGAAATAAAATTTTACAGATGCATTAGAATAGGAGATATGATTATTGCATTCCGTTTCATTTACTATGCCTTTCCCAACAAAACTGAAATAGGCACATCGTTTATTCCGTTTCATCATATTCTAGGGTCTTCCCAGAAAAGCTGAAATAGGTCTTTATCAACTATTAGTAGTCTATTCTCCATAATTGATTGTTGTATTTTTAATTCTTAATAATTTGTAGACAATTTTTCCTTTTATCGAGATTTTATAAAGAATATTGGATATATTGAATTTCTATAGAAAAAATTTATCGAATATTAAAATCTATTTATAAATCTGAGAGTATAAAGTAACGGGCTAAGTTCATATAGAATTAAGGCATCTATATAAATATATTTGTATTAATTGCATTATAAATAAATTTATTCTCTGACAATGCATTTTTAAATATTTCAACAAAAATAATACGGGGAAAAATTTTATCATATAGGCAACATTGACCATATTTATTTTTCTACAATAATGAAAATTTGTTATTTCTATTCAAGAATGTTATTATAATGCTTAATAAATGAACATATTTTAAAAACACATAACGCCCCCTTGCGAATTAATTTTAAGCATTTTAACTATTTTTATTACTAATTATTTTGTTTTAATTATAACTTTATAAAAAATATGCTATATGATTTTCATTCTATAAATATATGTATTTTATTATAATTTAATAATGTGATTAATAATTATTTAATTAAATGTTTCATATATACAGCATCAAAATTAAATATCTACTTAAACTATTATATAATAAAATAGAAATATAAGGCTTGAATATTTAATCTAAAATGGTTGTTATAATAAATTGGTATTTTATTTGTATATATTCAAAAAGAAAAAAATACAAGCAATTTTTTAAAATGAAAATATATATTCTTTATATATATATAATTTGTTGCCTTGAGATATACAAATAAATTTCACTGAACTTTAAATATAAATTATTTAAGTGTTTAAATATATAATAGTTTAACTGAACTTTAAATATAAATAAGTATTTAAATATATAATAGCGCACATGCAACATTATATATAATAATATCTCCACCATGATACTAGAGGGGTATTTTTGCACCAAGATTTGGTCGATATAATTGTAAAACCCTTCTTACTTAAAGTTTATTCTTTTTTTTCGTTTGGGTTTTACTTTTACTCTTTATTTTATTTGCTAATTTTTTCTTATATAGAAACAATATATTTTTTACCGTTTTATTTGTGAAGACAGATATAATAATATTTTTATAAACAAATTTATAACAAGAAAAAAAATTAATAATAATAAAAATACATCGTTTTCCAAGCTTTTATATATTTATTTACAATCTTATTATTATTTATTTATGGTCGACATCACATGTCAATCTTCTTTATTTATTTATTTATTTACTTTTCATGTATTTAAAAAAATAATCTCCGTTCGGTTTAAGTCGGGCTTAAGATTTTTCTAAAAAAATTTGGGCTGGGTCGAAGAGAATAGGGCTTAAATTTTTAAATAAGATATTATTCTATTTTGGAAATAAATTGATATATTTTAAAATTGTTGCAAAAAACGAGTCGCCAATATTTTTTGTTTGTAGTATCTTTTCTTTTTTACAATTAATATAATACGAAACTTTTCTATTATTAATTAAATTCGGGCCAGACAGGGCACTGATGGGCTTTTCGAAAGAAATAAAAAAAAATTTGTTCAGAATCAGGCCGACCTGGAAAGTTTTAAAAAAAAAATTTGTTAAAAAATTAAGCCAGATGCACTTCACTAATATCGATTTTTCAGAAATTATCTAAAATTTATTGGGTAGCTACTCCACAGGCTAGAATTTAAAGTAAAAGTCAGACCTTTTAAATCAAAAATTGCTCACAATAAATTTAAAATGAGAGGTTCAGAATATCACCAAAGAGGATTCTGGGAGTACTTTATCCAAATTAACTTAACACATATACATTTATAACAAAAAATTTTTCTAAAAGATACCTACATAAATTATATTATAAAAATCCTAATAACTTCATCCAGGCCCTTACACATTTTTTCAGGAAAATTTACGTTCGTTTAATATATTAACTAATGGTTTTAAATTAGTTTTCTTTATAGCAGTTACCTAGACAAGTAAATACTTTTTTTGAACGATTAAGTGGCGACTGAGAAACAATCTAAAATAATTTCTCTGATTGGGATCTATTGGAAGATTTTTGTTTATCACCTTAAAATGATTCGTAATAAAATATCCAATCAATTAATCGCCCATATTAATGATTACGTCTATATATCTATCCTCGAACAAAATATAATCGAATAAATTAGATCAGATTTTTAAAAACTGACCCGTTTTTTTTGTTCGGTTACTAGCAGCAGACCCTAGGTTTCACGAGCTAAATATCGTAAATTGTTATTGAAATAATAACACTTTATTGACATTATAACAATTATACTATACAATTAAAATATTTATCAATACTATATATATACACACACATTTATTACACTTTAAGAGAATAAATTATTAAAATAACTCCAATAAATGAAATAAAGGAATTCACTTACAGATGACCACTGTCTTTATAATTCATGAGCATTGACAATATATTGATGCTACATGTATATCATATAATATTGTCATAAGATATTATATATAATCTACAAATTTACATTTATATATTGTCTGATTGACATTTGTATTATATAGAATTACATATATATATAAATGTTGTAATACAAATTACAACAGTATTCTTAAAGAAAAAAAATGTTACTCTCAAATTCATTTTTCATGTTATTATGCAATAGAATTATTGTGTTACGAAGATTCGGAACAAATGTTAGCATGTTAGAGAAATGATTGCTAAGCAAATTATATCTTAAAAAATTTGAAGATAATAATCTAACCAATACTCAGGTTAAAAAAATGAAAGATTTAGAACAATAATGTTACTTATTGAAGAAAAATTAGAATTTCGAGACTCTAGAAATAAATAAATTAGGGGTCCTGGCTACCAAAAGCTCCCAGTGGCTTTTCAGTCGCTGGGCTTATTATAAATTTAAGAAAATCCTTGCCGCCTTATATTAATGCCGACGTGTGCCTCAACGATCGCCTATAATTCTTAAGTAAAATGCCACCCGTTTTTTTATTAGCGTTTAGGTATAATTGTTTCCCCTTAAAATCCTTGTAAAAAGGATATTTTATATGGGTGGTTACACGTTACCCAGTTTATTTCAACCAATCCTAGTTTTTTTTTTGGGGGAGAAGCGAAATAAAAAATTATAATTATCTTTTTAGTAAAGTTACTATTTCGAGATATTAGTCAATATTTTTTTTTGTTAATATTCAACAGATTTTTATTAGGTTGTTATACAAAATCTAGATCGATGTATTCAGGTCTACCTTGTGTTCAAACTTTATTTTAAAACATTGCGATACCATGCCCCAATTCTTTTCACGACTTATTCTATTTAACATAATTTAAATCACATAAATAACATTATTTTATTTTTTTTAAATGAATTGCATGCTAAACCATACAAAATGATCTTTTCTTTTTATTTAAAAATTATTAACCGAAACGATAAAAAATATTAAATATTTTCCCATAATTTAAAATATCAATGATAATATGATTAAGATTATTATTTTTGTCATAATTTTGGGGAAAAATAAATTTTTTTTTATACACCCTTTCTTAGAAAAATCAATTTTTTTTTGTATAAAACCTTAAATATATAAAGAAATATATTATACATGAATATATGAATAATTATATAGTGTCAAAGATTAGCCCTATAAAAATTGAATTTGAAAAGATTGTTTTATTTATTCGCTTTTAAAATTAAAAACAAAAGGTCAAAATAATGAATTTTAAATGACAATTTTTTTTTAAGAAGAACTTATATTATATTTTATGGAGAAAAATAAATTAATATAATGTAATCGTTTAAATTAACTAATGATAAGAGTTCAAACTACTGTTTCATAATAATAAAACAATTATTATTAATGACGTATTTGATTTATTTTATACTGCTATTTAATCAAAGAATATCTGTGTATGGTCAATTAGAAATTCTGGTTTATTTGGATGAAAGTGAAACTGACTTTCATTCTCCAAAGAGCGTGATAAACGTCGATGATAGAGAATTCAAGTTATCTAGAAGAGACATCATGAGGGTTCTTGATAATTCAATGCGAAGGGTAGAGGAAATGCGCCGGAAAGAGCTCAGAGCTGTATTGTTAACAAGTAAGATCATATTTACAGATTTCACTAAGACATATGGGGATCCAAAAAACATGTTATATTTAATATCTAATAATATTCTTCATCTACATGAAATCACTGAAGGAAAACACTCTAAAATTTACCTCTCCTCTTCCCCCGCTTATTTTTCCTTCCAGCCATTATTACTGTAGTAAATCGATGATGTTAATATAAAAAAAAATCCTTTATTTTAACAAATATTTACAGAGTATATGAATATATATAACCCTCTATCCAATAAAATATTGATCCAAAGCATGTTAGACGTCGTAATTTATGATCATTTTTTTAACAAATGGTCGGTGATAATCAGCTGGTTGTTATTAACTTTAATCGAAAAATTAGTCACGAGCATGTAAAAAGTCAAACCGTGTTAAATTATATGGGTAAATGTTGGCTAATCTCAATCTTCACAGACACTTGATGGAGAAAATCCGTTTACAATAAGGCCTTTTAATTTATATTAGTTGCTTCCAAATCGAGCTGCCATCTTTTTTAAAAACTTCCAAGACCAAAATGATAGTTTTCCGTTAAAAAATTGGCTAAGCGGCTATAAATATAATAATTACTCAATTTTAGTTAAAATTGAAATTGAAATATATGTATAACTATAATAAAATTAGAATTTTATTTACCAATTATTTTGCCCTTAATTAATAAATATTGTTTTATTTTTCATATCCTACCCCATTGGATATCTAGCCCCCTTCCCCTTACAAGTCTAAAAAAATGGCTCATACACTTCTTTATCAGAAGTCTGCAAATGTAAAAATATCCTAGTCAGGCTCGACCGATAGGAATTTAGTTTTTCCCCAGCCCGACCAAATTTATATACTAAACCGGCTCCATTTTTTACTGGTTGTCTTACTCGATCCGACCCTGCCCGGTTTTTGAAATTTTGAATAACTTTTCTTTTATTTATAAAGAGAACCCAAATCCCGAAGGATCCGAATTTATTGAGAACATGAAAATAAAAATGGGATTCGTATCAACGATGGCTGCCGATAGTCTCAAAAACTTAATGCAGTTTATAGAATTATATTTTTCTTAAATAAATTTATGTACTATGTATTTGCAGGGTTTTCCATTCAAAAAAATAAAGGGAAACGTCATGAATCAAAAAAAAAGGGAAAGTGACAATCAAAAAAGGAAAGAGTATCAATCATTTTTTAAAAAAAGGAAAAGAAAAACAAGGAGGTTCATATAAGTCATCTGATAAGTGTCTAGGACAATCGATGTTTAATACAAGTATCAATTGGTTCCTCAGTTTAACATGTGAGCCTCCTTATATCCTTGAAAAACACTTGAGATTTCGGGAAAAGGGTCAATAAATTTGTTTCAATCATTGAGGGGAACCTTGTTCATATTTGCTATTTTATTTATTTACATATTGACAGCCAACACAGGAAAACCAAAAAACATAAAATAGCTCAATATTTGCATTCTTTAGACCTTAACCATACAGTAATGGGGAGCGAATGCCCATATAATTATGACCCAAATAAAAATGATAGGACGTGTAGATTAGATAACCCTTACAGGGAAATAGACGGGTTTTGCAACAATTTAAAATATCCCTACAGAGGCACATCTCATTATCCAGCTCAAAGATTTATTCCAGCTGATTATGGAGATGGTATAATTAATTAAATAAATATTATTTCAAATGAAACATAAGATTTTTTCGTGTTGTATTAAAAAAAATGAATAATAATCATACATGGTATTGGTATCATATTAATTTAAAATGAATATTTGTTCATTAATTTTATAAATATATCTCGGGAATTTCTACTAAAATTCTTATAATGGTTCTTGTTGTAAAGGTTTAAATGAACCCAGGCGATCTATAAGGGGTGAGGAATTGCCAAATGGCAGAATTATTAGCAATTCTGTCTTGCCATCCACAACTAAAGATCATTCTACAGTGACCAATATGATGATGGTTTTTGGACAACTGATGGATCACGAATTCGCATTAGCTTCTAGTCCTACAGGTTTTTAATCGTCATCATATGGAATATGTGATAATTCCGTCTTTTATTAGGATTTATGTTTGGAAAATTAAAGTGCTGTGATCCCAAAAATGTAGTTCATCCTTTGTGTATGAACGTGAATTTCCCCAAAAACGACAAATTTTTTAGTCAGTTCCGGCTGACGTGCATGGAAATGGTTAGGTCTTTACCCGCTATAGATGTTGACTGCAGATTCGGTTTTTTAGAGTTTTTTTGGAGGATTAAATGTTCATAGAATCTTCTTTAGGTCCTAGAAATCAAAATAACGAAGTAACTTCCTATATTGACGCTTCCCCAATATATGGATCTACACAAGAAGTGGGTAATAGACTTAGATCCTTTTCGATGGGTAAAAAAAAATTATTATTTAATAAGGATAGGTATATGGAAGCACATTTTAATTTTGTAATATTTGAATAGGCGAACTAAAAATTCAACAAAACCCTACGAACCCAAGATTAAAACCATTAATGCCCATAGCTAATATATCAAATTCAATGCAATGCGAAATCCGATCAGGGCCTTTCAAATGTTTTGCCGCGGGTATGCATATAACATTTTGAGCATGCATTTCCTATAATTATTTTCGTTTTATTTACATATTCTAAGATTTCTGGGTGAAAGGAAGGAACGCATCCCATAATTATGAATGATTTTTTCAGAGCCACCCCTGATTGCTTAAATATATTTATTTTGCTTTTATCTGTAGTATAAATAAGGTTTGTTGATATTGTCAAAAAAAAATAGGAATAATTATGCGAGGAAGAGGGTGTGCATAATTCACGTGAGGCTCCTAATAAGGTAGGTCCTAGATTAAATTATTATATTTTAATAAATTTATGTAATTTACGAAGGAGATACAAGAGCTAATGAGAATTCTTTGTTGATTGTCATCCACACCTTATTCGTTCGAGAACATAATAGGATCGCACAAGGTTTACAAATAATTAATCCTCAATGGGATGATGAAAGATTGTAAGTTTATATAATAATATTTCACACGATATTTTTCTAATAATTCATAATATTTTCACAAAAAGTAACATATCACTAGAAAAAACATATAAAATTGATAAATGACATTACAAGATATTTTAAAACATTGATTAATTTTTTTTAAAAAATACGTTTTTTTCTCTATCATTGCAAATATATTTTTACAACTTGTATTTTATCCGTATATATTGATTATAAATTTATTGGATAAATGAATGGTTTTCTAATTAATAACCAATTTTTATTGTCTCTACATGTAATAATTTATTTTAACTAATAAAAAGTTAAATATTAGAGGGCACCTACTATTATTTTTGTATGTTATACCCATAAAAATATTAATATAGTAATTTTATTCATATTTTTTTTAAATATTTCCACGCCCTATAACATAATTAATCATTTACTTGTAATATAAATTTGCAAAACAAAATGAGTAACCTTTCAATTTCATAATAATATATAATATAAAATTACAATTAGGGTAACTATTTATCTGCACTTTTTTATATAAACACTTTGCTAACTATTTCCATTTTAATTGATTTATTGATAGGTATCAAGAGGCTAGAAAAATTGTAGGAGCAGAAATTCAGCACATATGTTTCAAGGAATTTCTACCAATATTGATAGGTCAAAATAACTTGAAAAAATTTGGGCTTGAACTTAAAGATACTGGATATTTTATAGGGTATAACCCAGAAACAGATGCATCGGTGGATCACGGGTTTGTAACAGCAGCGTTTAGATTTGGGCACAGCTTGATTAAGTTTGAATTTGCATTATATATTTTCCTAAGATATTTTATTGAAACATTTAGCAAGGACATGTTTAGAATCACCAACCAGAGTAGTTCCATGTCTACTCTCAGTCTTAAAAAAGATTTCTTTCAACCCCAACACGTTTATAGGGATATTCCGCCCGAGGGAATGGATCCACTTTTAAGAGGAATTTTTTACCAGCACGCTCAGAACATGGACAATCATGTAGTTGAAGATGTTCGTAACCATCTCTTCCAACTTCCTCACGAAAAATTTGGTTAGTTAATAATCCTAAAATAGGGAATTATTTATTATAAATTTTCTCTTATTCAATGTCTACATGACAGGATTTTTACTGGATGCAAACCCCCTTCAAAAATCTTTGCCTACCCCCCTTGAAAATTCCCACGGCCTTCGGCGGCGGTGTCTCTTTATCATTATTTTCACCTGTTTATTTATTGGTACTCTTTTCAAAGAATTTATAAAGGATAACTTAAATTAATCTATCTCTACTACCAACTATCGATATTTTGTGAATATAAAGAATTTATTTTTTAGATAATAAATTCAATTAAAACCTCCATTATTTACAATGAATTAATTATTATGGCATTGTGAGCTTGCTGAAATATCTAAACCTTTTAAATGTAATTTAAAAGGATAGTTTATTTGGAAAACAATGTGTATGATTGTTTGCAATATATAGATTTGGTCGATGAATTGTATTATAATAATACTATAACAAAAGTTTTGATTTTTAAAGCAATAAATTTTGTCCTATTTCATCTCAAAATTTAACAGAAAAATTTATCCTATCCCCATTAAAGCAGCTTACCCCCTACCCCCTCAAAAAAATAGGATGCAAACTGTTCCTACCCCCTTCCCCGCTCATGTAGACGCTGGTGGTCATGATAATATATAATTTTACCAAGTATACATAATATATTTGTATTGAAACATTCCCTAATTAACATTTCTAACTTTCATTTACATTAAAATAATTAATATACTGCTATTATTAATTTATGGATATTCTAATAATAAAAATTTTTATAATATATATTAGGAATGGATCTGATGGTATTAAATATTATGCGAGCCAGAGAACAGGGTGTGCCCAGTTACAATGAATGGAGAGAGTATTGTGGTTTGACAAGATACAGGAATTGGAATGATATGAAGGGACACGTGATTCTATCGGCAATTGATGGGATGAGAGCAGTATATAAGTTTTAAAAAAAATGAATGAAAGCCATAATCAGAAAATAAAATTTAACACCTTATTTTCTTCTAAAACAATTTTGACCAGGAAGAGAGAAAACCAAAAAATAAATGATTCAAGCCAAAATTAAGAGATTACATATACTTCAATTATAAATAGCAGCATTGAAGGTATACCAATTACATAACAGTTAGATAATGGTAAAATATGTGAGATATTTATGGTTAATGCTAAACAGTGGCGTAGCTACGTGGCGATTTTCGGGTTTGGACCTCCCCTACCCAGAGCAATTTTTTTTAGATTATACGTTCAAAAGACTCAAAAGTGACTTTGTATCAAATAAATACCATAAATATTTATATTTTTCTGGTTTTGATGTTTGTGGAAGGATATTATATTACTATTGAAATTATTCTGGATAGTAATATTATAAAGTCATTGAGAATAATCTACTAAATTATAATAACATATTATTGATGCATTTAAAAAATATATTTATTACATATTATCTAATGATCAATATAGGACTTTTATATTATAGGAAAAACAAATATATTTTTAAGATAAACCCGGCCGAAGGCCCGTTAAAGGGGGGTCTGGGGGGTTAAGCCTCCCTAGCTTTTATATGTATGGACCCCCTCTAAGGAAAATTTTTAGCTACGCCACATGCTAAATGTATCAGAAGTAGAACATATTAGCTATCTTTAAAACAATACCCAAATTATATAAAAAAATATTTTTTATCATGCTATTACCCTATACCCTTTTAAACTTACCTTAGCTCCTCCCTAATCTATGTTGATTTCTGAAAATTTTTTTTACCAAGTGCCTCTAGGTCTCCCTTTTAAAGTATTACAGCGATTAATAACTCAAAATTTTAATATTTAACATAGACCGAGATAATTATGGTTTAAATTTTAATATAACCAACAATTTAATAATAAAAAGAAGAATAATAAGTATGTGTGATCTCTCACATTAGACACCAAAAAAACAACAATGAGAATGTTATAAACATATTGTTTTTTTTTCCAAACATAGGAATGTTAACGACGTAGATATATTCGTCGGAGGAATTTCGGAGATAATCCTTAAAAACAATGGCGAAAAGGAGAGTGACGGTATACTAGGCCCTACATTTTCCTGCATGATTGGAAACCAGTTCAGAAATTTTCGGTACGGCGACAGATATTGGTATGAAAACGAGAATTCTAAGTTCATTAGCCACGCTTTTCAGCCAAGTATATAGAGATATTTTTATTTGCTCTTTAATATAGGTACTTCGGATTTAATAAAAACATTTCATAAAATTATTCCTAATTTTTTAAATCCTAATTTGTTTTTATATTAAAATATTTTTTATTTAAAATTTAAAAAAAAATAAATATTTCTAAACTTAATAATAAATTATTTTAGATATTTATGTTTTTTTATGTTTTTGTCTCGTTTTTTTATTATTGAATAGCCAATTCAACATTATTCTTTTTCAATATGAAATTTAGAACAATTGCAAGAAATACGTAAAGTGCGGTTAAGTAGAGTGATTTGCGATAATTCCGATTCAATTGATTTAATCTCAATAAACGTCTTCATCGAACCTAGTTTCGAGTAAAATTTATTATTTTATTTTATTTTTTAAAGTTTTCCTGGTTAATTAAAAAATAATATTCTCTTATAAAATAAAGATATATAAATTTCAAAAAAAATAAAATAAAATAACTAGAAATCCTGTCCTTTATTGCAGAGATTTTCAAAAAATGGACTTTCGACATTGGCAGGAATAATTGGGAGATCTTTCATGTTTGATAGAGAGGAAATATGATCAGGGACAAATAAATTCACCCAAAAATCTCAAATAATTAAAAATTAAAATAATATATGAATTCTATGGGCGCACGAAATAACTCGAAATAACTTAAGAAATATAATAATTGTTATATTAAATCAATATATTATAATATAAGACTGTGGAAAAGCATATTGTATTTTTATATTTTAGAAGGAATATAATTTCCTTTTCAATCCTCCCCCCCCCCCACCCTCTCTCCCCCACTTCTAACTTGAATATATCAATATATTTATTTAATTATGATTGATTTGCCATGCATATATAATTTAGTGAGTTCAGTAATACATACAATTTATAAACCTCAGACACGATATGCTAGTAAATATGCAACCTTTACTTAAATATGAGCTAATTGAAAATAATTGAGACTAATCTTGTAAAATCTTATATTTCATATATTTTTAAATTTGTACTAAGTAGAGTTAGGTTGTAATTTATTGTTGAGTGTTGAAATATAATTTCTATTTTTGCGATTTATTAGGTTATTTTTTACTGGTGTTTAGAACAGATATTTTATTAGAAAAAATATTATGCGAGCCTTAAGATTTTGCTCACAGATGACAAGGTTAGAACATATAAAGCTAGAAAAACGCGCTATTAGGAAGATATTGGATCAATGATTTTCATTTTAAATAATTTTGGTGGAAATAAATTATGAAGAAAAAAGTAAAGAACTTATAAAAAAATTGTGAATCAAAGATGAGCAATAAACCAATTAACAAAGCTAATATTAGCTCTTTTTAAAAAAGATACTCAACCTAAAATAATACCTCCAAGATGTATTCTATATTCAAGAATTGTCATATGTGTGCAAAGAACTTAATAAATGGATACAAGATAAAAATTTTGAGCGGTAAAAGTCAATGGGCAAGCCCGCTAACCTGTATATATAAAGAAGCATAAGGCTTTATGCCGAATTCAAAGTTAGAATTATATCTAATTTTGTAAAAATATATTCATGCAGGATAACATTAGATATTTAGGCCATGAAATGCACCAGAATCGTGATAAAATTAAAACCGCAATATATATGCCAGAACCAAAATTAACTAATAAACTTTCCACATTTTTATGAATGTTTATATATAAAACTTTTAAACATTTTCGCAGACATTGCTACCACCAACACTCTAATCCAGATTTGCTTACAGGGATTGTAGCAGATTCATCTAAGATTGTGAGCTATGTATTTTCATACAGAAAAAGATGGGAGAGAAAATTCAAAAGCTTTCGCATCAAGAACTTAAATAAAATCAGTTAATTATACAAATATAGAATGTGAAGCTCTTGCCATTATGTTTGCTATTAAAAGATTTCAAGAATATTTAATAGGAACTAAATTTAGAATATAAATCGGACCCCCTTTGATTTGATAGAAGGAGAATCTAAACTGGTATCAGGATTTAAATTTGAGTTTTATTCAGAATTTCGCTTTAATTTTTGTAACAGAATATATTTCGATTACACTGTTCTCATTACTTGTGAGAATCATATGTAATGAACAAGAATAAATAATATAGAATAAATTGTGGGCGATTTTATTGAATAACTACGGAAGATTGAAGGTTAAGAATATATCATCAATTGTAGAATGTGGAATCCGAGAAGAGGAATATTAATAATTTAGTTCTTTATTTTCAACTAAGATCAAATAAAAACAAAAAAGTGAAAGTAAACATGATTATTTAAGTATATATACATCAATTTAATATTAATATAAAAATCATTTATAACTTTTCAAAACATTAATTTAATATTAAATATAATATAATATATCGTTTTAAGCCTTAAGTCTTCTACAATACAAAATCCATTAATAAACAATGTTACTTGTATTTAACAATATGATTATCACAAGCAATGAAAATAAGAGTTGTAGGTAGTTCAGGAATAGTTATTTTTATTTCAAAATGATCCTCTCGCTTATTTTTGTTTATTCATGTTCGTGAATACGATATGATAATTTAATAAAATTTTTGGGGGAGAGTTATTACCTTATATTATAATTATGAAATTATGAATCTTAATAGTTTGATAGATCGCAGGATACTATAAGTTTTTTGATAGAAAACTTTGGTTATAATTAACTTAAATTAGGGGGATAAGAGAAAAATTACATTATTTTGAAAAATTTTAAACTATCCAAAAATTAGATTGCAAATCTTATATTATTGATCGCTTCAGCAGATAGTACTTTTAAGAGGAAAAGATGCCAGAAGGTAAAGGTTAGCCGGAAAAAATAATTTAATGACCCTTTGGTAAAAAATTAGATTGCAAATCTTATATTGCTGATAGTTTCAGCAGATTGTTTTAATTTAGTTTGAGTTAAATAAAATTATTGTTTATATATTTACACTCTTAAATAAAAAATTAATTTTTTTAGAGGTGAAATAAATTAAACACTTTTTAATTAAGGTTTAGTGGATATAACTCCTAAAAAGCTTTTGCCAGCATTAGCGGTTATACATACTTGATTTTGGTAAAAATTCTTCTGGGTTTAAAATTCGGAATTTTTATAAGCTTTGTTAAAAACTAGAATTAGATACCTTATTATTATAAGTTAGATATATTTACCTAAATAATTGAAATATTTGGCAGTGGATTGTTCTGACTAAAGGATTTAGCTTTTTAAGTTAATAGTACGCTTTTAACCTTGTCTAAATTTTTCTTTATGTATTAGGGTATATATTTTTTTGTTAAAAAATTAAAAACAATAAATTAATGGCAGCGGTAATTAGACCTGCGAAAATCACTTACAATAGTTTGCTAGGATAATCGGTAAGAATTATTATAAGCTATAATAGTTAATAAAATTTGAATTTAATTTTTAGGTGAAAAATCTATAAATAAAAAGAAGGAAAGACCCTAGGAACTCATGTAAAATTAATTAGTTGGGGCAAATCGGGCTAAAGTTAAAATTATTCTAAATATGTGTAATATATATGATATATTTTAGAAAAATCTAATTTTATATTGATACTTAGAAAAAGTTACCTCAGAGTTAACTGCGGAATATAAAGTAGATCTTATAATTTGTAATGTTTGCGACCTCAATGTTGAATTATTTTTAATTAAAATGCAGTAGTTTTAATAGATGTTATGTTTGAATATTAAATTTGTCCATGATTTAAGTTCGGATCGGCGAGAGCCAGGAAAGGAAGAATTCTCTTCTCTTCTCTTCTCTTCTCTTCTCTTCTCTTCTCTCTCTCTCTTCTCTTCTCTTCTCTCTCTTCTTCTTCTCTTCTCTTCTTCTTCTCTTCTCTTCTTCTCTTCTCTTCTTCTTCTTCTTCTTCTTCTTCTTCTTCTTCTTCTTCTTCTTCTCTTCTTCTCTTCTCTCTTCTCTTAAAGGACCATTTTAAATTTAATATCATAATATTTTTATATTAAATTTAGGAATTTAGAAGCACATTTTGTTTAAAATTCATTACTAGGATAATCTAAGGTATTTTAGAGTTGAAATATATATAAATAATTTATGAGATGTTGACCTGCTTTCAAGGCAGGCATAATTTACTCATATAGCAGCTACGATAAAAAATAAAGAGAAATAAATAATACCAAGTGTTTGACCTATGAAGATAAGGGGAGCTTCAACCACTTGGGACCCAAGGCTTTAAATATTTAGGGTATTCACGTACATTTTATACACCATATTTTCACTTAGCAGCGGGAGTTTCGTATTTAAATGTTATCGATCAAAAATAATTTTTTAACCAATTTTTATCAAACTTTTTTAGTGTTTTTACCTGAGTCAAATATACTTTTCTATAATTTATAATATTATATGAGACACCATGTCTAGGCTATCGATTAGAGAAAGTTTTTACCTCAAACTGATAATTTATTACAGCAGCATTTGCAAAATCACTACCACAGGGGCTAAATGATAAGACGTTGAATGGCAAATAATCACAGCACTTCCATAGAGAAAATAATTATTATAATCTAAAAACGTTAAAAAAATTAAATTTGTGCAAAGTGTGTCAAAAGTTAAAACAGTAGTAAAAAACGCGAAAACTGGATAAAGTGTACCAAATATCATGAATGTACACATTCAAATTGTACCAGAAATGATCCATTTTATGCTTGCCTATATTGTGAAGATTAGTTTATTTTAAAAATATTTATAATTGTGAATAATATGTGTTCGTTATAACAATTAATTCAAAAAATTTGTGGTTTGTGTTTAATTTTATATTTCTCATCTTACCTTAAGGGTCTAGCCATCTTACTTAGGTTGTCGGTAAATAGTAAAAAGTCCAACTTTTACCAAACCTTTATAGCGCCAATACTAAAGGTAAGATGCTCGGGTATTTTTTGTTATGTGGTCTAATGATGAGGATATCCAATGATAATTAGTTTTATCTTCTAAAAAAATAAAATTACATAGTAAAAGAGCCACCTATTGGATAGCCCTGTCTCCCCTAGAATCCTTTAAATTTTTTATAAAATTATGGATATCACTCCTATTAATAATAAAATAATAATTTCATAAATTTAAGATGTGATGACAATATTTATCACAGTCTATCTACAATATACCTTGTATTATATTATTAGGCCTCATTTGCAGAAACTGCGATTATGGCTAAGGGCATCGGTGTACGATAGCAAAGTTCTATTATTTAACCTTATATATTTTGTAATTTTAATCATCCACAATTGTTACGTTATTTTAGTGATAACTGTAAACGAGGCCAAAGAATCAAAATATTACTTCCATTTGAAATATATTTCTTCATTTTATTAAATAAATAAGTTAT